CCCCCCCCAAAAAAAAAAGCCGTTGTGCAAAAATAACATACTTGCAGGTCGGTTTGTGCTAAGTGGGTATTACGTCACTAGCACCTCAAGGTGTCCTCTGACCACATAGCCCGGCATTTTTCTCACCCTTCACGGTCATTCGGCCTTTCCAATAGCGGGAGGTTTTTGTTTCCCAAACAAGTATACAAAGATATGGCATCGTATCGTTGGAGGGGCGAGCCTCTGGATGTTGGAAAAGGTCCAGAACGATTTAAAACGGGGCACAGAAAAGCGTCTTGCATAAATCGTATGGACCCAATTTTTTTAACCTCAGGTCCCAATTTTTTTAACCTCAGGTCCCAATTCTCCCATGATTCACGTTTTATACCTCAGAAATACTGACAGCTAGTCCCCCGGAAACACTATATCAGCCAACAGACTTGACTTGCGTTTCCACCTAAACCCAAGCTGGCTTAAAATACAGGTTGCATAGCCCTTTCCACAATTGATTTACGGAGCTATGGCTAGCATCGGTTTGTATTCCTTACGGAAATCCATGCATTCATTATCTGATGACACTTTGAAACCTCATTTTCCTCGATTCTTTACGTAAATTCTCAGGCCCTTTGTCCTATCTGAAACAGTTTTCGTTACGAGCACGTGGCAGCCGGCACAGACGCCAGCTGCCAGCACGTCGATCTCGTGGCATAAATGACGTATACGTGAAAACAAGACAAACTGGCCTCTTCCTCTTTATCCATTTCCTCACCAACCATGGCGTCTACTCTTACCGTACGTGTAACATTCATTTCCAATTCAATTGAATTTGGTGGTTTTCTCATAAAATGGCTTACTGGCCACTATAAATGATTGTCGCTTGCCATCGCTGGTACTGCCAACCGACCGCCAGCTGCCCCCCCCCCCCACTACTCCGTTGACTTTATGATCCTAACTAACCTCCAGGCACTTGCGACACTCCTCGATGATCCCGATTACAACTGGAAAACCATTATAATCGGGTTTGCGACCGCCCAGTTTGCCTTTGAGAATTACCTCACCGTCCGCCAGTTAGGTGTCTTGACGAAGGACCAGCCGCCGCAGACGCTCCGTGCTGATATTTCCCAAGAAACCTTTGAAAAGTCCCAGGCATACTCACGCGCAAAGGCCAAGTTTTCCATCTTTAATAGCGTCTATAGCTACATTCAGAACTACCTCTTCATCACCTATAACGCCATGCCGGTGATGTGGTTCTTTTCGGGCGAGCTTTTGCGCGCGCTTTCGCCCGTACTTCCCGCCTCCTTCTCTGGGGAAATCTCCCAGTCGGTGGTGTTCTTTACAGTCTTCTCTATCTTTGGCTCCGTCGTCTCCTTGCCGCTCTCGTACTTCCAGAACTTTGTGTTGGAGGAAAAATACGGCTTCAACAAGCTTACCGTCGGCTTGTGGCTCTCGGACGCTGTGAAGGGCTTGGCATTGTCGTTTGTGCTTGGCTCGCCGTTATTAGCGGGTTTCTTGAAGATCATCCAGTACTTTGGCGACCGCTTCATCTTCTACGTGTGGGTGTTCATCTTTGTGGTGCAGGTTGTGATGATTGCCATCTACCCGACAGTCATTCAGCCAATGTTCAACAAGTTGACACCATTGGCCCCAGGTGCGCTCAAGGACTCCATCGAAAAGTTGGCTCTAAAGAACAAGTTCCCGTTGTCGAAGTTGTACGTCATTGACGGCTCTAAGCGCTCGTCGCACTCCAACGCCTACTTCTATGGCATGCCGTGGTCTAAACAGATCGTCATCTTCGACACCTTGATCGAAACCTCCACCGTGAGCGAAACCACTGCCGTCTTGGCGCACGAGATTGGACACTGGGCCTTGTCGCACACCACCCAGATGTTGGTCATTGCCCAATTGCACTTGTTGTTCATGTTGACCTTGTTCTCTATCTTCATCCATAACCAGTCGTTGTACGTTTCTTTTGGTTTCTTGAGTCAGACCCCAATCTTGATCGGCTTCTTGTTGTTCAACGACATCTTGCAGCCGTTGGACTGCGTGATTTCGTTCTTGATGAATGTCTTGTCACGTAAAAACGAGTACGAGGCGGACGCTTACGCCGTGAAATTGGACTACGCCACCGACTTGGCTAGAGCCTTGATCAAATTGCAGATCGAAAACTTGAGCAGCATGGAGGCGGACTGGTTGTACTCCGCGTATCACTACTCCCATCCGTTGTTGAGCGAGAGATTGAAGGCGATTGGGTATGTAGCCAAGGAGAAGGTGAAGAAGGAGGAGTAGGCTCTATTGAGGTAATTGAGTGCGAGGGCACCAAGTACAATATTTGTCATATACACTATATATACTTTCTTTACACAAACTGTAGCCCAAGTCCTGATGTAGACCTATCTGCACTTCCCCTTTGCATGGCGCTTTCCTCCTCTAAGCTCACTTAATTGATGTAGCCCAGCTCCTCCCCCCGTTGCTAGATCACTATTGCGTACGCTCTATTTGCCTATATCGCCCTACCAACGTTTAATGCGCAACGTCAACTGGGCTCCACCGCATACGCTCTCAACCTCGTCGCGTTCTTCACTACTGCCGACCATACCAAGACCCGCCCACACTCCACGCATGTCGCCTTCACAGGCACCACAGGATTCACAAAGCCCGCGTCCGAGACCTCCTCTCCCTGCTCCAACCGCTCTTTGAGCAAGTTGCGCGACGCCTGGGAGTACTGCGTGAGGTCGGTACGCCGCAACTTGGTGAACATCTGCGCACGCGAGAGCACCTGCGAGCCGGCCGCGAGCTCGGCCTCGTTGCACGCTTCCACCTCCTGCACAAGCGCTTTGCGTGCCAAGCATGTGAGGTGTGCAACCGACAGGCACTCTGCGTGGTAGCAAACAGATACCAATGGCGGCACCTCCCTCTCCTCCACGACGGTGTAATCGACCTCCACGCTACAGACGGAACACTTATGGCTGCCCTGAACGACGAGCTCCTTCAGACGAGCGAAAATAGCGTTCTCCTTGTCCTTGATGTATTGGAGAAACTCGCTCATTTCGGCAAAGCCCTGATCGACGAAGGTAAAGTCCGGGAGCCGCGCGCCAAACTTGTTCGCGCACCATTGTTCATACGCGTCGCGGTCGAAGATCTGTACCTTGAGGTTCATGCGTGCAAAAAAAGGCGCCATGAGGAGGAGGCGGATGTTTCCGAGCTTGTATGCGAGTGACCGCCCCGCAACCTTGCTCTTGGAAATGCGCGTGGCCACGGGGATATGTCGCGTCTGGTGCGCGTGCTGGAAAGCGTGCTCAAACTGGAGCGCTGCAATATTGGAAGGAAAGCCGTATACAATAGTGACCATCTTCCACGGTGCACACCCATCCTTTTTCGTCCGCCACGCGCCGCCCTTAATCTCCCCGTTGTGTTGGCGGAGACGCTGAGAGTGTTAGTAGTTTGTGGTAAAAGAGTGGCATAAGACACATACCCTGATGGGGTCAGGGGTGGACCCGATGTAGAAGGACTGCTGTTTGGCAAGCGACTGGAGGAGGTAGCAGCAGTAGAAATCCGCCACCAGAAACAGATCCTTCTTTTTTGGCATTTAGTTTGATGACGGAGGAAGAAGAAAGATGTTTGACAGATGTAACAGCGTGCGGCTCAAAAAATGCTCTAGCTAGGTTTTTAGCTGAGAGTGACATCGAGCCACAAGGTTGAATATTGTATTTTATTTAATAAGAATTGTCTTCTACTGAAACATCAACTATATTTTCAACCCTTGAATATCATTCTTTGTTGAATTGATGGTTACTGTTCCGGCAGGAAGAGCTATTAGGGCGATATCCCTCGTACAGTTGCCATTTGCCTTACTATAATTTATATGGCAAACAAACTGCTAACTTATTCCACATCTATCCAGCTTCCGCTTTAGTCACATATTTAGATCAGCCATATTCTTTTTCCTCTACTTGTTTCTCTTTGAGGGTCCACTCACATCTAGTCTTTCATCCTCGTCATTCTTAAACCCCTGGCGTGCCGAGACAATCCCGATATAGAGCTGCCGCGCGCGACTGTGGCTTATCTGGGGAAGCACGCCATTGATAGTGACTACGGACAGTCCTTGCTGGTTTGCAGCCTTCCGAATTTTTCGCTATAAGTACGCTTCATACCCCGCTTATCCAATTTATCATTAATTCGCACTAACCTCCAACTATGAGCGACTTATTTGTGGACATCACGCTCCCTAACGGCTTACAATACAAGCAACCTGTGGGGTTGTACATCAATGGCCAGTGGCTCAAGTCTGACACCCAGATCGTGTCGATCAACCCGTACACTGAGGAGCCAATTACTTCCGTGTACGCAGCGTCAGCCGCGGATGTGGATACCGCGGCACAGGCTGCGCACGTAGCGTTCCAGTCGTGGAAGAGGGTTACAGGCGAGGACAAGGCGCGGCTTCTTCGCCGCTTGGCAACATTGACCGAGGAAAACCTCGAGCTTCTTGCGTCGCTCGAAGCTATCGATGCGGGAAAGCCGAAAGAATACAATGCAAAGGCAGACGTCGAGGGTGTCGCGGCGATTCTCAACTACTACGCAGGCTCTGCGGACAAGATTAGTGGGCGCGTCATCCCGATTTCTGATACCAAATTCGCGTACACGCGCCGTGAACCACTCGGCGTTGTGGGGCAGATTGTGCCATGGAACTACCCAATTTCGATGTCATCGTGGAAGTTTGCGCCGGCGTTGGCCGCGGGGAATTGTATCATCATCAAGTCTGCGGAGAACACGCCGTTATCGTTGCTTTTGTTCGCGACCCTTGTGGAACAAGCTGGGTTCCCCCCAGGTGTGTTCAACATCATCTCCGGGTACGGCGCCATTGCAGGCACTGCCATCTCTACCCACCCGTTGATCCAGAAAGTGGCGTTCACGGGGTCTACGAAGGTAGGCCAGACCGTACAGCGCGACGCGTCTGCAAACCTCAAGAATGTCACGCTTGAGTGCGGCGGCAAGTCTCCGTTGATTGTGTTTGACGACGCAGACTTTGAGCAGGCAGTGAAGTGGGCCGCGTGGGGGATCATGTACAACTCCGGGCAGAACTGCACGGCCAATGCGCGCATCTACGTTCAAGACACGATCTACGACGCCTTCTTGGAAAAGTTCCGCGCGACAGTGATTGAGGAATTCCCATTGTTGGATGCGTTTGACGATCGTGCCAAGCTCGGACCGGTAATCTCCAAGGTGCAGTACGATAAGATTAAGCAGTACATCGCGTCGGGTAAGGCCGATGGTGCGCGCGTGCTCTTGGGCGACGACACCAAGGTCCCGGAAAAAGGATACTGGATCCCACCAACGGTTTTTGTCGACTGCGCAGAGCACATGAAGATTGTGCGCGAGGAGATTTTCGGGCCAGTTGTGGCGGTGTCAAAGTTTTCGTCTGAGGAGGAGGTGCTTGCTAAGGCGAACGACTCTACGTACGGGTTGGCCGCGATGGTGTTTACGAAGGATATTGTGAAGGCGCACCGCTTCGCGGCGGAGTTGGAGGCAGGGACTGTATATGTCAATTCCTCAAATGACGAAGATATTAAGGCGCCGTTCGGGGGGTATAAAATGTCAGGAATTGGGAGAGAGTTGGGTGAGGAGGGGTTGGAGATTTATACTCAGGTAAAGTCGGTACATATCAACTTGGGAAATAAGTTGTGAGAGGGTGGACGCGCGGAGCGCGGTATCTCACCTCTCTCATACGACCTCTATCTTAGAATAATTCCATAGTGATCTCAGAACTACCAGAGTTAATGGCCTTGTGATTTAAATCGAAATAGAGTAAAACATGGCGCTGTAACTAGTACCGTGCGTGGAGTTGAGGGTACAATTCTGTTAAAGCCCCGCCATGCCCAGCTTCTCCCCAAACCGGACGTTACTCTAAGCTATAACTCGGAACCAGGCGGAATATTTTTTCAACTTACAGCTTTATGAGGATGCAACTTTGAGCTTAAACTCAATTAGCTAAACTTTATGTAGCTAGGCTTTACTCCAGGGTTTTCCCCTTTTTGTGCCTCTCCGTTTATTAAAGAGTCAAGCCTTGCCTAATAGTAAAACTCGCCCATGTATATACATACTAGTGTCTTGACCAGAGATACTCCACGCCACTTACATTATAATTTTACTCCCCGCTTATTAAAGCGGTCTCGCTATTTTAATGCCCTTTTGGGCCTCCCATTTGTCTCCATTTCTCAGAGTTTACTAAACCCGTTCCACGGCCTCCTGCGTCTACTGTTCGTGTGATAACCAAAACGACAACCGCCACGTATAACGCTACTTAACACTTACACTTATACCCCCACTTTAACGCACCCAATTTCCCCATCTCAATGTTGTTCTTACCTATCATCGGCCTCTTGGCGCAATTCGCTTCGGCGCTTACCATTTCCGAGGGCTCCGTGACTGTCGGGTCGCAAAAAGCCAAGTACGTACCAAGCCCGACCCTTGAGAATCCTCACTAACGCCTTAGATTCGGCTTCGAGGCCATTTCGGCCCCGTTGACTTTAAATGCCCAGGATTCCATCACCGTCAGCTTCAAGCTCGATACGGCTGACACTCCAGACCAAGTCATGGTCTTATTGGGGAATGAGCGTGGCTTGGAGACATCCTACTTTCCGGTGGTCACCGGAACAACGGCCAAGTTGGTGATTCCAGCAGCCAAGATTCCCGCTGCGTTGAAGGCGCAGCACCGTTTGGTATTGAACTTGGTGTTGGGTGCTTTCGGTAAGGAAGTCTACGACGATGAAGACAAGGGCTTTGTCACCAGCCACGAAGAGCCATTGTTCCTCCAGATTGGCGAGCTCCAGCCGAGCAAAGAGTTGCTCCAGCAGCCATTTGAAAGCGCTCCGAGATTTAGTGCCAAGCCAGAGATTATCCACCAGTTCAGAGACAGCTCCCAGACCGTCAACCCGGCGATTGCGCTTGTGTTTGTCGGTGGAATTGGCGCTCTTTTTGTGGGTTTACTCGGTGTCTGGCTCAGTTTCGGCGTGCTCAACGTCAAAAATGCTCCATCGGCTAACGGGAACCTCGTTTTTCACGTGGGATTGTTGGGCTCGATCGTGGCCTTTGAGGTGGTGTTCTTCAAGTACTACGTCTCGAGCTCCGTCTTTGCCACCATCGCCCGCATTGCCGTTTTGGCCGGACCAGCCGTCTTCTCCGGCTCCCGTGTTTTCCGTGAGTTTGCCATTCGTCGCAAATAAACCATTTACGTATATAAGGTGGAATGAGCTAAATTTTTGATTAAAAAGTGATAGAATCCACGAGGAATTATTCTGTATGTTATAAATGGGATGTTTTCGAGAGATGTTACCGAGATGAATGATGTAGTGTATTTGGACAATCTGATATAGTCCAGCATTAGTAGACTGCCATATACCCGTGGTTTCATGGTATACATATCCAAGCAGTCGGTGCAACCCCTTTCCGATTCAGATTTAACGGACGGAAAAGGGCTAACCTTAGGAACTAATGAAAGGATTTTCCACACTGCACTATTGGTATGAGTAGGCTTCCTAGACAGCCAGGACGTTTAAGTCTATATAAGGTTAATGTTCGTAGTATATGAACGGTAAAGCGGGAAGTCAAAGTGTAATAACTAAAACTTGTAACTTGAATACCTGTTTAACAAGGGTTTCTGTTACAGAATTTCGATATAAAATGGATCATGTCGACCAATATACGGTACATGCTAGCTCTCCAAATCTCTCAGGGGGACGAATCGAGGGTTTGGTCGCACCCGTAATGCGGGTAAACTTAGAGAAAACTCGTACCCATAGTTTTTCTTTGGATCACCCTTACTGTACCATAGTTAATGCAAATCTTCGATATCGTTACTATCATTAATTCATAATAAATGACAAATTAGTCTAACTAATCATCCTGGGGCTAATGGGTGACCACCATTGGCGTGTAAGCCATCAGCCGAGTTGACTGGTCTGCCAGTGACCTGGAATTTCATTCGATACACCGTCCATATGCCGAATATGGCATCTGGCCCCGTACATACCTCTTACTTCATTGGTGACGATTGCCTATTCCTCCCATGGTTCTTCCACAAAGTTGTTTTTGATCCATCGGAACCCCCAGAAGCCAATTCCGCCTTCATCCCCCCAGAATGACTTGGAAAAGTCCTGAGCGGCTACGATCTTGCCTTTGACGAGTCCGAGGGGCATCATCGAGTACGATCGTGAATCTAGCGAGTGGCACAAATTGTCACCCGTGACCCAGACATGACCCTCAGGGATGCGGATGTACTTGTTGAACGCCTCCTTGTCTAGTGACGACTCCACATTCGTCAACTCTGACCCGCTCAGGGGATCGATCTGGATAATCGACCCCGGCATTCCGGTGATTCGTTTGCACACACGGTGCTCCGGGTCCGTGGGCTTGCATGCCACCACACAATCGCCCATTACAAGGTTTCGCCCGTGACGATACGTTTTGTCACAGTGAACAAAGTCAAAACTCGTCAGTATCGTCGGGAGCATTGACTCGCCCTTGGTTTCGCAAAACTCGTAGACGTATTCCTGGAAGAGATGGATAGTGCAGCCGACTTTTAGCGTGAGCGAGAGCGTATTGGCGACAAACTGGAACTTTGAAGCCATCATGATGGGAGCAGGTGGTAGGCGGGGACAATGGGTAGAACGGAAGTAGTCTCAAATGCTGATAAAGGTCTGACAATACATGCGGGTGCTCGCAACCATCAACATTTTTTCAGCATGCAGCACTCTCTGTTTAGCTCTCCTCCGTACAAGTAGCACAACCATTGTCACACACAGACACTAGAAAAGCGGTGACAGCAACCTTTGTGAAAGACCACAACCCATACCTGCTGAATATACAACATACTCTACACACATGGCTGAAGAACAGCGAAAGCTCTTGGAGCAGTTGATGGGGCGCGACGCATTGATCAACCCGTCGCGCCAAAGACGTGACCCGTCGCTCACAGACACGCGTGTGTGTAAATCGTTCATCGTGGGCACGTGCCCGCACGACCTCTTTCTTGGGACAAAGCAGGACTTTGGAAAGTGTCCGAAGTTTCACTTGGAGAAGCACAAGATGGAGTATGAGGCGCTCCGAAAACAGGGCCATCGGTTCCCCGAGTTCGACTACGAGTACACGCGCGACTTGGAGCAGTACATTAACGACTGCAACCGCAAAATCGAGGTGGCTCTACAGCGCTTGGAGCACACGCCGGAGGAGAAAGTGAAGATTGCACACGTCACGCAGGAGCTCGATAACTTGGATGCCAAGATCGGGCTCATGACCCAGGAGATCCAGATGCTCAGCACCCACCAGGAACTCACCAAGGCACTCCTCGAATCGGTAAAGTTAAACGCGTTGTGCCAGGAGCGCGAGCAGTTGGCAGAGCTGGCACGCGATATTGCTGACAACATCGGTCAGGCGTCGCAGCAAAAATTGCAAGTGTGCGAAATGTGCGGCGCGTATTTATCGCGATTGGACAGCGACCGGCGGTTGGCGGATCACTTCATCGGGAAGATTCATTTGGGGTATGTCCATATGCGGCGCGCGTTGGACGAGATGCGCTCAAAGGTTGGAAGAAGATACTGAAGAAGTTTGGAGAAATGAAAGGTGTCGGAAGGGTCTGGGTGCTATTGAATGCTGTGCAGACCGGTATTGTACCGGCCAAATTGAACATATAGAGGATGGTACTAGATGGGGCTATCTTTGAAAATGGTTGTGAATACCCCCCAGTGACGGGTACTGATAGAAATATTGCTTAAGGAAAACACAAGCCACGGACAAATAAAACTGGACTTAGACATGTTGTGGAATCCATGTAGACTGTAAGTGTCTAACACGTACTATATGGCTCGGTGTAGTTCTCGGGGTCTAGGAATGGGTCAAGAAGTACACATCGATAAAGCCCAAGTTTATTTCACCATAGTGTATCATTTATATAATAGAATTTGCCCCCCTAATGGGTAGGGGATAGATTTTGGCATATCTGTATTATCGTTATCATACATTCTAAAATTTTAGGTGAGAGAAAGGGTGAATATACTCAAAATATAGATGGGATGCTGTAAAGTGACCTTATCAGAGATAATTTAAACCTGTTTTCCAACTTTTTTTCTTTGAAAGATGTGGGTATGTCATAGAACAATTATTCCATCGAACCCCGTATTGATCTTAAAATTTTCTCGCCACCTGCTCCACACCCTTGTGATTAGTTATAGGGCTATATCGGCTAAGATGTGCTACATGTGTTTATTACTCGTCACGTACAGAAAGATTGTTGTTACTGTTAATATAACTCATGGTTGGATGCTAAAATACCACTCGGGGCCATTGGTATATGACCAGCAATATAACAGTTATTGGCATCACCAGCCCTGCACCTTTGCCCTCCTTCCTGCGACCGAATATTTTTTTGCCTGCGCTCCATTTTAGTCGCCGGCTCAACCTGCGAAGCACGCCAAAACGATCCTTCCCATCACCACACTTGTTGCCACTCAATACAACTACGTTCTATATATCGCCCACCATGGTACCCTTGGGCATTCTTGGTATTCGACCTCTCCCCTTTAAGCTCAGCCGCAGGGCTTTGCTAGTTATTATGCGTCCAGGTCTTGCGCACCCCAGTTCTGCAAGCCCTATACACCCAGGTATTCTCCGTCTCCCCACACACTCAGGCCTTTATAGCCTCCCCAGAAACCTTCACACCCTAGCCAGACAACCAGTTGGTATATATCTTCCACTTAGGGGTCTTGGAACCCCCGACGTTTCAGGTTTTGCCGCTAGGTTAGCCTCTGGTGTGCCTGACGGGCGGCCGTCGGACAATGGCATATCCCCCGATAGTGCCCCCCCTGAGGGACGCCCGAAGCCGCTCACCCTCATTCAGAAACACCATCTCACCAAGCAAGAGCTCCTTGCACGCACCACAAATCTCTATGACCGCATAAAGGTCCGCTTCCGTTGGATGATGTCGCGCTCAGCGCGGCCGTTCAACACGGACGACTTTTCCGCCTTCTTCTCGTGGATCATGATCTCAAATGTATTTCTCCTTATTGCAGGGACCACCACTTTCGTCTCTGTTGTCATTTTCTTGGCCAATACGGTGTTTGCGCAGGAGTTGGTGGCGCAGAAGCTCGGCGAGTTCATCACGCGAAATTCCGGCTTAACGGTCATCTTCGAGAGTGCGATCGTCCCCGGCTGGTCGGACGGAAAGATCAGCTTCAACAAGTGTTATGTTTCGATGCGGCCGAAGCAGCAGGGAAAATTCGAGAAGGGGTCGCAGGCCGCCGCGGTGCACCCCGCGCAGGGTGCGAACACGGATGACGGCAACTACACGCAGTTCGACTTGACTATCGAGCAGGTGAACGTGTCTCTCTCCTTTCACAAGTGGATTAATGGCCACGGCATTGTCAAGGACGTGGAGTTGCGCGGGATGCGCGGTGAGGTGGATCGCACGTTTGTACACTGGGAGGAGGGTGACTTGGCCACCAACTACAAAAATGTTGCGGCGCCTGGCGACTTTGAGATCGACCTGTTCATTATGGAAGATGTATTGTTCACGCTCAAGCAGCCGGATGGTTTCCGGCACTTTGAGGTTAGCATCTTTAACTGCGACCTCCCCCAGTTCCGCAAACATTGGCTCTTCTACGACATATTAAATGCCAACCACATGAGCGGTAGCTACGACGGCTCGCTCTTCACGATTCACAAGAAACAGCGTATCGATGATTTTCACCTGATCGCGGCCGACATCGCCGAGGCACCCGGCGGCTCCAGCTCGCCCTGGAAGCGCGTCACACAGCTCCGCATCGATTCGTTGAACGTAGATCACCTTAACACCGGGCTCCAGGGACCCTTTGGGTGGATCACCAGTGGTCAGGTCGACATGCTTGCAGACTTCATGGTACCAGAAGAAGATGGCTTTAACGTCGCGGAGTTGGTCCAGATGATCAGTGAGAACTTTGCCAAGGAGGCCCGCCGATACAACCTCATCTCAAATGGCCCCCCCTCGGATGTTATTAAAAAGGACATTTCCAAGTACATTGTGATGGACCTTCAGGTCAAACTCAACAATGTACGTGCCGGTGTTCCGCTCTTTACCCCCGACTTGTCCTACATCAACAACGCATTGATCCGGCCCATTGTGGCGTATATTAACTCCAAAAACACGTATATTCCCATCAAGTGCCGCGTGGTGAAAAAATTGGAGGATTTTGCCGGCTCGTGGACCATCTACGACTGCTTGCTTATGGATGACTTGTCTGCCGAGGTGTACGATGCGTTTGCGGAGTATGTTACGGACGAGGCTGCACGCGCCCAGCGTATGCGCAAGATCGGCTTCTGGTCCTTACAGGTGATGTTCCAGTTGTTGTTAATGAGCTTGGGAACCTTAGCATAGACAGTGTCTGGATGGGGGTGTCTGTGGTCTACATCTTGCCTAACAGGCCATATCGTAACAGATCCTTTTTGGCATAAAACGGAGCCTTATCTTGTATATATTTTGGATGAAACGATATCCGTTCCTCCCCTGAATTCTGTATAACCGAGGGAGAATTGGCCCTGCCCGTTGTATCATGTATATAATTTGAACCATATCACTTCGTGTAGACAGGACGAATATCTGAGATAGCTGGTGCACATGAATTTCGACGGACCGGCTAGTCATTAACTGGGCTGGAAGGACGCTCACCAGTTTTTTGATGCTGGAAACTCCGGTCCATCTACTGGTCAGCATACCAATTAACTAGTGGTAAATTGGGATAGAACGCAAGCCAAAGGAATAATAATAAGCTCCAGCTCTACATTTATAACCATAGATGTTTCATTGAGCAGTATTATTTGTTAAATTCCGCTAAATTGCAACTAGAGGCTCTGAAGCCAAGAAAAATATATGATGTCATTTTTTTTTTTTTACTTAGGCACTGCACCATGCAGGTAATGTGCTGCACCAAGACGTCACCTCTGAAAAACTCACTTGTTTTAGCTACGTCTAGGCATTGGCAACTTAGCTCCACGAGCATGGGCGATTTCCTCGAGGTCCTGACTGAAAACTTTTCAAATCGGTATAAATACCATTCACTTAACTTTTCTTTCTCTACCTCTCTACACTCTCTACAAGATGCATAGAGTAAGACACTTCTCCACTGGAATGACAGGCTTATCCAAAAACCTCTTTGTTGATATCAAGCTTCCAACTGGAAAGTCCATCCAGCAGCCTATCGGCCTCTACATCAACGGCGAATGGGTCACTTCTGAAAAGATGATCGAAACAATCTGTCCGTATACTGAAACGCCAATCACATCCGTGTATGCGGCGACGGAAAAGGAGGTGGACCAGGCGGTTAAGGCAGCCAGAAATGCATTCAAAGCGTGGAAGAAGGTCCCGGGCGAAGAGAGAGCCAAGATGCTATTCAAATTAGCCAGATTGACCGAAGAACACGTGGATGAGTTGGCTTCCATAGAAGCTATCGATACCGGCAAGCCTAAAGACTTTAACGCCAAGGCAGATGTGGACGGTACCGCTGCTTTGATGGAGCACTGTGGAGGTTGGGCAGACAAGATTGTGGGCTCCGCAATCCCTGTTTCACATAACAAGTTTGCCTACACCATTAAGGAGCCGTTAGGGGTTGTAGGGCTTATCGTTCCGTGGAACTATCCCCTCAGCATGGCCGCGTGGAAGATCGCCCCAGCTTTGGCAGCCGGGAACTGCATTGTGATCAAGTCGGCTGAAAACACACCCTTGTCACTTTTGAAGTATGCCACGTTGATTGAAAAGGCGGGCTTTCCACCGGGTGTGGTCAATATCGTATCCGGCTACGGAGCGGAGTGCGGCAACGCCATTTCGTCGCACCCAAACATCGATAAGGTCTCCTTCACTGGATCCACCGGTGTGGGCCAGGTGGTTCAACAGGCCGCCTCCAATAATTTGAAGGTGGTGACATTGGAATGTGGGGGTAAATCTCCGTTGATTGTATTTGAAGACGCTGACCTCGAGCAGGCTGCCAAGTGGGCCAGCTTTGGGGTGATGTACAACTCCGGCCAAAACTGCACCGCCAACTCCAGACTCTACGTCCATGAAAAGGTTTATGATGAGTTTATTCTGATCTACAAGGCCACCATCTTAGCAGATTATCCAATGGGGGATCCTTTCGATGCTGACTCCAGACTCGGGCCGGTCATCTCCAAGATCCAGTTCGACAAGGTCAGTGCGTATATTGAGAAGGGTAAGCAGGAGGGTGCCACCTTAGTTTTGGGGAATGAATCGGTTCCATCTCCTGGGTACTGGATTGCCCCAACGGTGTTTGCTGACTGCAACGAAAGTATGACGGTGGTTAAGGAAGAAATCTTCGGTCCCGTGGTGACGATTTCCAAGTTTCTGAGCCAGGAAGAGGTGCTCGAAAAGGCGAACAACTCCGACTACGGGTTGGCTGCCATGGTGTTCACGAAAGACATTGCGAGAGCCCACCAGTGCGCCTCAGAGTTGGAAGCCGGCTCGGTGTACATCAATTCGTCTAACGATGAAGATATCCGCGTTCCGTTCGGCGGCTACAAGATGTCTGGTGTTGGTAGAGAATTGGGCCAGGAGGGGATTGACATCTATACCCAGACCAAATCCATCCACGTGAACTTGGGCGTTAAGATGTAGGTTTGATAAATTGTATAGAATTCACTACCTATTTTTTTATTTATGTAAACTTGGATGTAGGCTCTATAAAATTTGTATTTCTCTATTGGCTACTTACGCCCGTAAAGCGAACAGCACCTATCGACGGTTTGGAACACATCGTCAAAGTCGGTGCGCTTGATCTGGAACCATTCGACGTGTACGTTAAACCTGTCCTGGCGTTTAAGTACCGTTGGATCGTTCGTACATCCAGAGCAGAGGACATCACCTGATCCGTACTTCTGGCGTAGCAGCTTATGGATGTGGCTCTCCACGATATTCACATTACTATCACAGTGGAACGCCTTCTGAGATATGTCATAAGTCCTGAAAGATCCCTCGGATACCTCGCTTGGCTTTATGGATAGCTTTGAAAACAATTTCAGTAGCGTGGTCTTTCGCTCGTAGTTCCGAACATGCGGTTCTATGGGGGACAACCGGTGGCCACACTTGTTCTCCCATTGTGTGAGTCGCTTCTGTACTGGAAACTGGGTTGTGAACCCAACCTTGATCAAGATATGGCGCTTTGGGTTGAAGTCAACCCACGATTCCTTCGCGTTTCGGTCTTTCACCACCTTGAGCCACGCTTCCTTCCGGGGAGACGGGTCTAACAAGTGTGCAAGGGTGTAGATGTAGATGTGGCCTGGCTTTTTGACAGGTGCTAGCACTGGTCCGGTGGTATTATATCGGCTCTTCGGAGGGGTGGAAGTGCCCGAGCCCGTAGCAGACGTGGTTTTGAATGTTCCAGTGAAATGTCGGGTATACTGGGGTTGGGGGACATGGTAGTGGCAGAAAGTATTGGGTGGTTGGACCGCAATCTTGCACCTGAGTCCTTTTTTGGTGGTCCCCTTGCATTGCAGCATGAGTTATTACTTGTTTGAGGAATGTTTTAGGTTTGGTAAAGGTGTAGGAGCTTACCGGAAGTTTGATCTGAGTCCATCCGCGGTTTACGTGTTGTCAGGTTATGTGCATGAACATGTCACCAAAGCTGCGTACGCAATCTAATTTGGCGTTACGTCTTCCTGGGGCTATTTTTTTTTTAATTAAAGCAGAATCACCTTTTCATCTTTGTACGTGTATAATTCAGTATAGATAATCAAATTAAAGGAGTAATGCTAGTCGTCGTTCCTTGCTGGCAGTGTCGATTTTACTCGCTCAAGGTAACATTCCCCTTGCCACTATATTTGGGCCCACTAACATACAGAGGGCTATCCCATAGATTTATATGGTCTAGAAATACGCAATTCTATTACTCACTTCATAAAGAAATATGAAATACGATATAGCTAGGCGCTGGTGCACAGCCCAAGTGTTTGGACTCTTACCCGCTATGCAAGTTCCCTCCCGTTGGTATATGCTTTCTACATAAATCTATTAAAACAATATTTATTTTAACGTAGTACAATTGAGAAAAAGAGGGATTGCATATCAAACGCTCCCCGGGACCAAAGATCTGGTGTTAAACATTCGAGTCTAAATGGCGCCATTAGTCCATTAGGTGTTCATGTAGGTGGATGGGTCGACCCCTTCCTCTGGGAAGTCGGCGATCTTGACGTCGAATCTCTCTTGGATCTTAGCCAAGATTTCCTCATCCTGCTCGTTGGAGATGAAAGAGATAGACAAACCCTTAGTACCAAATCTACCAGCTCTACCGACTCTGTGCAAGTACTGGTCCGCCTCGCTTGGCATGTCGTAGTTGATGGCCAAGTTGATTCTCTCAATATCAATACCTCTGCCGAACACGTCGGTAGAAACACAGATTCTCTTGTTGAACTCCTTAAACAACTTGTATCTTTCAATTCTCTCCTCCTGTGGCAACCCGGAGTGGACGGCGATGGACGGGAAGTTGCAGGCACACAACAACTTGTTCAACTCGTTGGCTCTGGAGGTGGACTTGACGAAGATGATGACCTGGTTGAACTCAAGGGAGTCCAACAAGTCGGACAACTTTCTGTTCTTTTCTCTCTCAGACAACTTGATGTAGTACTGCTGCAAACCGTGCAAGGTCAACTTGGCCTCGTCGTCGACATAGATCTCCAATGGGTTCTGCATAAACTTCTTACAGATCGGTCTGATCTCGGAAGACAAAGTGGCGGAGAACATCATGACCTGCTTTTGGTGCGGGGTCTTTCTGAAGATGTCCTGCACATCTCTTCTCATGTCCACGGCTTCCAAGACCTTGTCACACTCATCGATCACGAACGACTTGATGTTGTTCAATCTCAAGTGGTTGTCACGGACCAAAGCGTGCAATCTACCTGGGGTGGCTACCACAATGTGTGGGCAGGTGTCTTTGTTGGACAACTTTTCAATATCCTTGGCGATTGGAGAACCACCGTAGAACACGTCGGTCTTGACGTCTGGCATGTACTTGGAGAATCTAGCGTACTCATTTCTGATCTGGTAGGCCAACTCTCTGGTGTGGCAGATGACCAAAACAGCAACCTCGCCCGGAACCGGCTCCAATTGCTGCAAGGTGGACAACACGAAAACGGCGGTCTTACCCAAACCCGACTTGGCTTGACACAAGACGTCGGTACCCAAGATGGACTGGGGAATGGTCATTTGCTGGACTATTAAGAGTTAGTGTGTGTTACAGGAAGGATAAAATCTCGGCAATCAATCGATGGAGGCTTCCTCTAGGGGAGGTCAATATCAGCAGGGGCAAGTCCGATGGCAATGACAAGGATTTGGTAACTGGCGACAAGTTGTACCGCCGGGCAACATGAAGGCTGAGCTAGAGAACGTCGATGACGTTGCTGATTGATTGCTGGTGGCATGGCTGATTGATTGCAACGTGATTTTATCGCCCAGATGATAATTACGAACCTTCAGATGGATGTTCGAAACCACAGTCACCGATGGCTCTGACCAATTCGGCCTTCAACAAGAAGTCTCTGAAACCGGTGGCGTGGATACCAACGTACGAACCCTTCTTGTTGGCTTCGTCCTTGGACTCTTCGGTGGCGGTGGCATCAACGACGGTTGGCTGCACGGCGATTTCTTCGGAATCGGAATAGTCCAAAAGTTCTTCTTCACCTTCGTAAGACATGATGTATGTGTTTTGTTTAATTTGCGTAAACTGGTTAGCAGCTGGAACGGTCAAGCGCTGTTGTGATACGTACTATTTTTCAGATAGTCGAAGTTCTTCCACTTCGGCGCTCAGATTTACGCACGTGTTGTAGTTTACCGCAGGCCAGCCCCCGATATACATAGTCCTTATAACTCTACTTTCGCTATACAGACATAGAGCCAAATAATAGACATGGGTATTTTTATATCCGTTGAATATACGAATTATCGCGGTAAGTTAATGCCAAGCAATAGCTGGAGGTGGTGTAATGTGTTTGTCAATGCTTGCTATTGACACGTTCTGCCTTTGAATCCTGCGACCCGCTGGGGGAGCGCGTTTCGAGGCTCAGACGCAGGTCAAATTACTCCGACTGCCACCTTTAAAAAAAAAAGAAAAGATTAGGTAATGTTACGCTTGTCTGTTCCAAAACACATTGGTTCACGACTGTTACATGTAGTTTGAAGCAAAAATTATTCTTTTTTTTTTTCTAGCGTGATTAAACTTTCAATGATAAATGGGCAACATACATGCCCTGATTTCTACAAATAGCTTACAAGGATATCCTTAGCCATTTTTGCGTGATATATTTGTTGGAAAGCGTGCAGCTACGTCCCTTCATCTGGGGGGTTGCTGCATTAAGATTCACGGCTCACAACTTTCCTATCTAAGCAGTGTGAGTTTCTGCTCGACTTGAACCGATCACATGGCTGAAAATGCTTGAAAATCATCGGTACCAGTCAAGGACTGAATGTCAGTATATATTTAGATTGTATTCTTTTTGCTACTAGTGAGTCAATAAAACTAAGTCATCCGTAGCTTTACCCCATCGATATGAAACTTCTCATTTTAGTTCTCTCGCTATTCGTCACTCAAATTCACTGTCTAAAGGATTTGTTTTATGAATATGGTTATAACTCAGTGTGCATCCAATACGAATTCAACATTACCCATGGATTTGCCGATCCTGATGGGGTCTACAGGGAGGTGTTTCTTATCAACAACCAATCCCCCGGGCCTCTCATTAAAGCGAATGAAGGCGATTGGATCAAGGTCAAGGTGAATAACTATTTACCCGTTGCGCTTACGTTCCATTTTCACGGACTACTTCAAAAGGGCACCCCATGGGCCGACGGACCTGCTGGGGTGGTCCAGTGGCCAATTATTAGCGGAGACTCCTATACGCATCTCTTTCAGCTCAATGATCAGTATGGGGCCTTCTGGTACCATGCCCACTACAGAGAGTACTCGGGTGACGGGATCTATGGGCCAATGTACATTAAACCTGCTGCCAACCGCCCTCGACCTTACGCTGTCATCACCAATAATACGGATGAGCTATCCGAGTTTATGGAGCTCGAGAAGGAGCCCACCACATTGATGGCCGCTGATTGGTTCAAATGGACCCAGGACGCAAACATCGCCCGGACCTTTACCAAGGGAATAGATCCGTTGTGCATCCAAAGTCTCTTGGTCAACGGGAAGCAAAGACTCACCTGCCCTTCCAACGAAACTTTTAATAAAGTACATTTGAGGCGGTGGAGAGAAAAGAACTCAACCTCACCGGTGCCAATAGTGAGATTCCCACCAGTAAATATGGATTCCATTGGGTGCTATGCCAATCCGACTACCAATGGTTTTAAATTCTTACGGAACGATCAGAGGTTGAAATACGGCCAGAGGTTTGACGATGAGAGTTTGCAAGCGCCTGGATTCTCTAAGCCATGCAAAGAAACTCGCTCGGAAAGGGAGATCATCTATACTATGAGAAAAAGGTATTTATACCTCAACGTGTACAACGTTGGTGGGGCGTTTGGGAAGTCATTTTCCATTGATGACCACGATTTGGTGGTAATTGCCATTGATGGCACGTTTGTTCATCCTTTGATAGCCCAGCGACTCATTATTCCCATCGGAACGCGCTACACCGTATTGGTGAAAGTGGACCTCGAAGAGCGCGCTGCCCGGGGCTCCGATACTTCTGAACCTTTCGCCATCAGGTTTGCCGTGACCTCGGGCAATCAAATTAAAGAAGGGTTGTCGTTTTTGGTGTATGACTACCCGTTAAATCTCACTGACCCAATAGATGGAGTAAAATACGACGATATCCAAGCGTATAATGATCCTCAGAACGGTGAGCAATTTCAAGACATGGGAGGACTGTCCCTCTCTCCCCACTACAAATCTGTGAACCCATTGATAACCAGACCTTTCGATCCGACTTTGAGACCACCACTCGGTCCTGCCGATCATAGTGTCCGGCTCTTCTTGAACCGTACTGGTACAATCGAGTTTTCGATGTTCGCTGACGGTGACTTGGCTCCCCGTGGGCTAGAGCTAGAAGCACCGCTCTTGCACCAACACCAGCTCAACCACAATGTTTCGTTTAGTCATATCAACGGGGTTATTGACCCGGGAATAAAACTAGGGCAAACGGTGGATTTGATCGTAGATGCCGCCCCGGATATCAAACATCCCATTCACTTGCACGGACACTCGGTTTACGCAATCTCCTCCTCGGTGCTGCAAACCTTCCCGTACGATTGCATTGTGGAGGCTGTTGCGGATAGCTATCAAGGATTAAATTTCGATCATCCCCCTTTAGTCGATATCTTTGAGGTCCCAAATGGCGGACACCTCGTGTTGCGGTTTGTTGCGGATAATCCTGGTTTCTGGCTCATCCACTGCCACATTGGCATACATATGGCGAGTGGGATGATGGGGGTATTGGTCGAGGCAAAAGATGATATTCCAGAAATGCCGGAGTTTTTATTATACCAAGCGCATGCCAACTACGATTTGATGAACTCGAAGGCAATTTCAAGTTTATCAGACGTGCTCCAGGAAGAGTATAATGATACCAAGTGGTGATTACTCGTCTTTTCAATACCCTATATAACCAACAATATGCCATTCATGGATTAAACCGTATGTACAGATGAGCCTTATGGGATACAACTCGGTAGGCTACAGATCGCATCCAAGACCGTTTATGGAGCATCCGCTGCAACCATGATTCATCACTCATGAATATGTACACCTCATGCATCGTCTCCAACGGTATGACGTGGAGCAGGGGATATCGTGGACGCAGCAGTGTTGGTTTCGATAACTGCAAGCGGGGCTCTCACAGGAGGCGCGTCAGCTGGATCATCGTTGTTTTCCGCTGCCACTTCCGAAAGCGGCGTTGCGCTTGGATTTTCCTCGGTTGACTGATCAGTGGCGAGTGCTTCAAGCTCCTTGTCAAGTTCAGATGGCTGCGGGGTTTCGGTGGCATCCTTGCCTTCTTCTACCTTGAGATCCTTAGTCTCAGAGTTCGGTAATTCGTCCGTGGCTTCGCGTTCCACGGTGGTGGAATTCGTCATATCCATGTCGGCAGAATCATTCAGACGTTTAGCCTTGAGGAGCGCTTCTTTTGCCTCGGCTTCGGTCTTGTTCTTGAACTCTTTGGCCTTTTCTGCGTCGTTCCACAAGACGACGTTCATTGTGTACCCGCTAAAGCTTCTGATGGGTTTACTGATCTTGACCCATTCCTTACACTTCCTGCCACTTCTGTCCAAAACCATGGGACTGACGCCAGTGGTCCCAGCACCCAAGCCGGATTTGGACAAGAGCTTCACATCCACAGAAGGCGACCCAACATTGGGAGAGGACACCCCGGGACTCCGACCTGAGGCAATACCTCCGTTCTTTTTGGCGTCCGACTCTACCGCTGTATCAATTTTCAGCGTGTCTTTGAGCTGGGCGACGGTTTTGTGCTTGGGCTTGGCCTTAGGCTTTGCGCGTAACGTCGTGTCGAGATTCAAATCCTGTAACGTTTGAGGATTAAATTTGAGTGTTACGGGGTACTTTCTCAGAGGAGCCATTTTGTGATAATGCAAAGTTGGGTGGGGAATGAGAGATGGGGGGGGGTGTTTAGCTAGGAATTGAAATATGATCGCACGCCAACCCCTCAAGAAAAGCAAAAGCGAAAAGGTCGCGAAGGCGCGCCAGTCCGCATAACAATATAGTGAGATGCGAAATTGTCAGTGCCAGCAACGAGTATCAAGATTTACAAAAATTATCTAGTTATAATACAAGTATTAATTTTATAAGTACTTTAACGTTGATATCGCTCGTTAAATTCCTCTACACCAATATTTGTGCCGTTATCTCGGAGCAACCATTGACACGTTAGACGCCGAACATCAGCGGCAATTCCCGATCCATTTTGAGCAACACAATGCTGGTGAGTGACATTACGGCAAAGATGCTTCGTACTTTTGTTGAGCTTGTCCAGTTTGCATTGCTAGTATTGATGGAATGGTATACTCATGTGTACGAAACGTATAAGGATGAGCAAAGAAAGCTGTGACGATCCCAGAGTCTATCCAAAGATGAGAAACAAAGGATGAGAAGCAAAGGACGAGAAGCGAAGGATGAGTTGAGAAAGCTGTGATAATCTCAGATCCTATCGAAGGATTCGCCGCATAATCTGCTGCTCTTTAGTAATACCCCTTACATTCTTAGAATTAGCACGATCAATGAAATGTAGCTCAACAAACTGATGATGCTTAGTAGGATGATGATATTCCCACTTGTGTGAAAATAAGTCTTATCTTGGGCGTTGGAATAATACATCTCCACCTGGCTAGATCGGTAAACCCCAATTACAAAGAGTAAGGATCCTAGGATCTCGTTAGTAATACTCCGGAAGCAAGCTAGCATTAACATACCGTAAACAGTGTAAACCGTCCCGACGGGAAGAAACTCGACACTGAAGAGTTTTAAAATCAAGATCGCTAAGGAACATTAGTATACGCACACAACGGGGGAATGAGTGTACTTACAAAATGATAAGGCACCAATGGAGGAACGGATATAAGCACCCTCGTAGGTTCTTTGATGGGCACGGACATCAAGTTTCTGGTTATTGGCAAAGAGTTCAAAGGTGGAGGGTCTTCTCGCGAGCACCAGCGAGGCCCGGCGGATCCATTCTGTAGCCATAGCACACGTGTAGTAGGTGGTTTAATCGGCTTGAACGTGTACTCCCCGGTTTACTCAGCCTGGTTGGTGGTGTAAATTAGTACTTTGAGGTTTCAAACAAAGCCAAGGCTTACTCCCACTGCATATGGAAAAGCGCATGAGCGCGTGACTGCACGGGTCAATGTTAGAAAAGCCACAGTAAAATCCGATAGAAAAGCTTTCTACGCCGTTTATATTTAACTCTAAAAAGACTTAGTGTAATATTTTGGCACTGCGTTAATAGTAACGCACCGTATAAATATATTATGAGTGTCGAAAAAAGTGCCTCCAGCCAGATTCGAACTGACGATCTCCTCATTACTAGTGAGGTGCCTTACCAACTTGGCCATAGAGGCGAACTCTTAAAGGTCCCATTTCTAGAATTTTATTCATGGCTGCCTGTTTTTTTACCATTAAATATAGACATTCATGGAGTAACCTGGAACAAAACGTCTGTATCCATTTTATACTATATCTAAAGTGAAATATCCGATTCCAATCGGATAAATAACTGCATCTCCAACTCTTCGCGTAGCAATGCTGGCTAAAACTGAGCCGCTTCGTATTTCCCGGAGTCCACCTTAGAAAGGCCCGAAAACTTCGGGTGGAAATCTGAAGCTTTCGCCGTGAAAACCTTCGGCCGGATACCATGCAAAGAACGCTTAAGAGCTACAAGATACAGTTGAACAATCCTCCTAAATTAGGGGGGATATTATTAAGGGGACATTGTGAAGTTATTTTCTCATCATAGCGTGTATTCGTCCCTCATAATGTTCTAACACGGGTTATACACCCTTCAAAGTGGATTTATCCATTTAAACATGTTGAGTTCAGTTGCTCTGTCGATTTATTCTTTAGTTCTAATACTAAGAATGAAGGCATCGTATGCCTTTTTATAGCTAATCAGTTCTTCCAGTAAAGCTGTTTTCGATTACCATGAAATCGCTTCTGAGTTATCATTTGACCAGGGTGAGTCAGTCCGGAATTTCTTCTCACAGACATTTAAACAATCCCGTGACATCAAATATGTACAGGAACAAATTTCAACAGTATGGCTATATGGAACTCTGATGTAATTGGGAATTGCATATGACAAGACTTTAATAGATATATGGACAAGGTGTGGTGTAAATTACACAAGACCATCTACTTCTATCAATCCTCCGATATAGTGTAACGGCTAGCACGGTTCGCTTTCACCGAGCAAACCCGGGTTCGACTCCCGGTATCGGAGTTTTCTTTTTTTGGACTGCAGAGGGGCATGGTAAACTATATCCCCTTTTTTCTTTAATACAAACATTCTTGGTAAACTTAAAATGCATCTACAGATCTGATGATTTGTTATATGCTTTTGTTACATTTATATCAATGTAGCTGTCATTAGTGCATTGGTTTTAGGATATACCAATATATTTGCAGATTAAATATTGACATTAATTTAAGTTAAAAGTAATGCACATACTTATGCAACTTTGTCTGGCTTACTTATACATATACATATAGTATATGATCTCAAGTGCTTGCTCATATAATTTAAATCCATATATTTTAAAACATATATTGTTCCTATAAAATATTTACAGCTAAGTAATGTTATTGCGTCAAAACGCCAGATATTAAACAACCACGCGCACTAGGAAGCTTGCATGAGTATTTGTGTACAGGAACAGTCTCATGACCGGATTCACTACGAAGACCATCAATATAGTACGTGTTGTATATTTTTATTTGAATTAGAACTAAGTAGTAGCTACCTTAAAATGATGCTAGTTCGAAGGTAAAAGCTTAAGGCGTCATTCGTTCCAGCAAAAAGTTAATGCGATTTCTGTGGATCGAACACAGGACCTTTAGATCTTCAGTCTAACGCTCTCCCAACTGAGCTAAAGCCGCGCCGGTCAGTAAAGAAAAATCTGACTTGAAGCAGTGATGATGGAGATAATCGGTTATGACTTGCCCTTGTCTCAAAAAATAAAAGGCCCTGCTTATAGGCCAGACTCCAGTCAGCCATGAAAAGGAAACGAAAATCAACAGTTTAAAGCTCTGAGATTGAAAGAGGTTATTGGATCACGTTAATCCGGCCGATTAATGCGATAGCAAACACCACACAACATCTACCTGAAATTGAGGCACCATGCAACCGAAACCGCGCTAAAAATGAGCATTCTACCCAGAACCAAAGTGCACACAGAAACTAGTATCTCTCCTCAGAAAGTTACAACGAGTATTCCGTCTATAAGATGTAGACGCCTTTGAATTTGCATCTATATATCTATGGACAGGGATGAGTCGTCTACCTAGCAAATCGGTTGACAGGAGGCCAAACGCGCCACATGCGAGGTTACCGCGAACTGCATATGGGGTATATGCACAGAACTCAGTGTACGTTTAACTGGCTCTTAACAATTCTCCATCGACATTATGACGTCATCACAACCAGTCCTTTTTATGACCACAATCCTCTCAATAGACGATCTGTTCCTTAATTTCGCTGCGGAAGACGCGTCTTACCTTCCTAGGATACGCACTTTACAGAATGAAATCGCTTACTGCAGACATACACGCACAGGGGTGTATGAAACGCGCGGCACCCTGGTAAAGACTGTACGTTTTGTGAGACATATGGTACTGAATAGATTACAAAGGGTAGAATACTTGTCAACAAGGGGGCCTTGAATGAAGCAGGGTTTATACTAAAATTTGAGTTGTAAGCAGCATATGCTTCGGTAAGACTTTCCTAGGCACTATGAACCATAACTATCATGGCCAGATCAACGTTAATCCGGTTTGCAGCCTGGGTTCAAATAGATTATACGAAGTATTCTGATGTAAACACTTCTAAGCTTTAGCAAGTAGCCCAGCAGTGGGGAAGTTGCAATATCTAGCCTTTTACGGAGTGTTGACAGGTGCATAGGCCAAAGTAACCACTTTACTAACGGGCCTTATAAATTACGGCGTATGAATTCACCCATCTCGCGTTTCCGAAAGGTGTAAGCATTAGTAATTAATAACAACGCTGCTAGATCTCAAAGCTAAGAAAGCCAGCTTCAGAAATCCAACAGAAACTTGGTCCCACTTACGGGAGCGCGCAGAGGATTCTGGTTCGACTATCCGTAGCTAGACATGTGCTTGGCCATGGTAGTATTTTACCTGCTCCGATCTAGGGGTGACAGATCGTGATCTTAAATAGGAAACTCGTCAGATCATGGCGTACGTCGTTAACGCATGGGCCATATAGCCACGTGCCCGCCTTGAATTTCATACACAAATTATATCAAGGTGTATTGGCTAGACATAACCGAGGCATATAAATAGATCGAGAGCAGTCCAAACGACATGTGCAGTGTCCCTTATGACCGGTGACTGGGGACTAGCCCATGGTCACAACCTCCAGGGTTTGTAATATGTAAAGTAGTCGTAAGTGAAACACGGCAACTTCCGGTATATAGTGTCGATAAAATCTTCCAATCATACAGATACCTAATTTTAGTGATCTGTTTCGTTCTCCGCTTCACCACTAGGGCTGACTAGGTCACTCACTGTTACGCAACAGTCTGGGAATGTGGCTTGGGGTGGCAAGCAAAAAGGCCCAATGTGACTTAATCGTAAAGGAAGACATTGTACGACATCAGCTTATTGCATGCATGTCTCTCTTCTGTATTCTTTTACGTACGGATAAACAAGCCATGCCGAACCTTGCAGGAACTGACAATCCAATATGAGACAGGTCGCGCTTTTGTTGTTCCTGAAATACGATAGTATGCATCATCCTGCAGCTAAAACCACAGCTGTCGCCTACGGGTAACATTTCCATGTGCTTAGTTAAACGGAAGGTACGCGGATTGTGCATATGTTTAAACCTAATTCCCTACATCTTAATTTAGGCTTTACCTTTATAGTCCACACTCTATTTCCCGCCCAATACGGTGTACCTCGTGGCCGTGTAGTAGAGAGGTTGTTTTTCTATATATAGCTGTTTTCCTACCTTTGATATAACTGCTGTCAATTTTTGATCCTTTTGTTTTGCGGCATACCTGTATACATACACATTCCCTCTGTTTTGGTATCATACTCCTTAGCTACTTATAAAGAAGCGTCAAAAACTATCTTTCATCTTACGGCTGTATTACCATTTATCGTTATTCCGAATACTGCGCCCACCTAAAACAGTCTCTAGAATTCCCCAAAAACGAACAATAGAATCGAAACCTACGATTAGCCATGTTGTTTTCTCGCTGCTACTCACTCTTAGTGGCCGGTTTGATGGCTGTTACCACCGTCGCTCAACCAATTATCCCAGAAGGGGGTGCTACCCTCAAATTGAAGAAGAAGTCTCTTGGCTGGGACTACAATAATGACACGTTGAAAGGTGTCAACTTGGGTGGTTGGTTCGTGTTAGAGGCCTACATCACCCCCAGCCTCTTCAATGTCTTTGGTAGCTCTCCCCCAGTGGATGAATACCATTACACCCAGACTTTGGGTAAGGAAGTCGCCTTGAGCCGCTTGAATCAGCACTGGAGCTCTTTCTACACCGAAGCTGACTTTAAGGATATTGCCGGGTTCGGGTTAAACGTGGTGCGTATTCCAATCGGTTACTGGGCTTTCCAGTTGCTTGACAATGACCCTTATGTCCAGGGCCAGGAAGCCTACTTGGACCAGGCGTTGGGATGGGCCACCGCTGCTGGTTTGAAGGTCTGGATCGACTTGCACGGTGCTCCAGGATCTCAAAATGGGTTTGACAACTCGGGGTTGAGAGACGTGGTTGGCTTCCAGCAAGGTAACAACGTCAATGTTACCTTGTCCGTCTTGTCTTACATCGCCAACAAGTACGGAGGCTCCGATTACGAAGGTACCGTCATTGGCATTGAGTTGCTCAATGAACCTCTTGGTCCAGTATTGGACATGGGCAACTTGCTTGAATTCTACCAACAGGGGTACAATAACGTCAGAGAAACTGGTACCGACAATGTTGTTATTCTCCACGATGCTTTCCAGGCGCTCCACTACTGGGACTCCTACATGAATATCCCAGACTACTGGAACATCGTTGTTGACCACCACAACTACCAGGTCTTCTCCGACGGCGAATTATCTCGTACCCTCGGTGAGCACATTCTGACTGCCTGTAACCTAGGCTGGTCCACCAAGGGCGAATCCCACTGGAGCGTTTGCGGCGAATGGAGTGCTGCCTTGACTGACTGTGCTCCATGGCTCAACGGTGTTGGCCGTGGTGCGAGATGGGAGGGTGCCTACGATGGTGCTAGCTATCACGGCTCTTGTGCCGGGACCCAAGACATCTCCACCTGGTCCCAGGAAACGAGAGCCGGGTACAGACAATACATCGAAGCCCAGTTGGACGCGTATGAGTACTCCGGCGCCGGCTGGATCTTCTGGTGCTACAAGACCGAGGGTGTCGCTGAATGGGATTTCACCATCTTGGCCGGTAACCAGATCTTCCCTATTCCTCTCGATAGCCGCCAGTACCCTAACCAGTGTGGGTTTAACTAAGAATCGAGATAATTTCATCCGCATTCTCTAGTTTTGTCTAGAGGAGAGACCTTTGTTATTTTCATTTCTCTACGATCCTTGAGTGTTGAAGTGATCAAATCATCCTGTATACCTCGGATATCAACCTTGTATGTGGGTGTTTTTTTCTGAAGGAGCTATCGGAGATGTGAGCTTTTTTTTGGCTTCTGCAACATTTGGTTGCATTATCTTTTTTTCATATTTAATTTACGTAATACTGTAGAATGTCGATTCAACTTGTAGTAACCCAAATCCCGAAACATAAATGTACGTCACTTTCTAGACACACGGTATGATATTTTATTTCTATGTAATAGTATGAGCAATAGCTCGGGGCACATGAGGGTCACCCAAGGCGTAAACTTCTCAGATTCTCTTGGCTTGCAAAAACCAACTCTGAAATCTTTATTCGGCCTTCTTTTGAGCGCTCTTTTGGTCTCTCTTAGCGTAGATCATGGCGGTGAAAGGCTCTTCGTACAACAAGGCGAAACGGTACACCAAGAACACGAAAAAAGAGGTGAAGATACCCGCTGGCTTGCCGAAATACAAGCCAGTACCCAAGAAGCACAAACTGGAACCATCGTACATTGGGTTGCTACAAATGTTGAACGGGAAGCCAGTAACGCGCTCGTCCATCATGATACCGAAGTAGTCACCCAAGTAGGTGCCGGTGACACCAAGGGCCCACATGGAGCTCAAAACCAAAACGTTACCGGAAAGGAAGATCAACACAGCGAGTACCTTGATAAGGGGATGGGTAAGGGCATCCATGACGGGCTGGGTGCGGAGAGCCAGCTCGTAGATGAAATCACGGTAGATACCGAGCGAGAAAATTGCCACCGCAAGACCGTAACACCCGTAGCGGGCATTGCCTCTCGCAAACTTGGTGAGGGTCTTGTCTTCGTATTCTGCCTTGTGTTAGTATTGAAACGAAATCAGCTTAGTTCTTGGACATACCCAGTCTGGCAGCAACATTCCAAAAGGTTGGATTGAAACAGATCAAAAAGAGGGAATCTATGTTGTTAGTAAGTGCCAATAAAAGGGAAAAGGAGCTCCTCGAGTACATACACTTGAACGTCTTTTGAGAGTAGTCGATCTTGGAGAAGAATTCAGTGACAAATTCCATGGTGATAGCTGTTAAGGGGTAGGGATAAGGAGAAGAAACCAGGAACAGATTAAGTAAAGGCGCAGTAATAGTATATAATGAGCAATTGATTGATTGCGAAAGAGGCGGGAAAATTGCCAAAAAGTTGGGGAAGAGCACCATTAGTGCCTCTGCAAAGCGCCTCCCCAACAAGCAACATGCAGGTGAGGTTGGATCTGGAGAGGTCACCGAATCGCCATGTGATCGTGGGGCAAAACAGCGTGCAGGAGTCACGGCCAACCGTCGTCTGGCCGTGACTCTTAACAGGTGGACACACTGTAAGGAATGTGCATAAAAAGAGATGTAGTTATATTTTATATGCCTTATTTTGGATTGGAGAAAATAACAAGCATAAAGCTAAGCATAGTCCACCGAAAACTAAGATTTAAAACTATGGCGCAGGTTGGTGGGGGGAGTCGTTAGGCATGAAAAAGCTGGGACAGCTGAGAGCCATCACATGACCACAACTCCAGCTCAATTGTTCAGTCCCAAATGGGAAATTTTATTAAACCATACCTCTTACAAGTGGCATTAAAATCCCTTCAGACGGTGGATCAGAGGCTTCAGCTTATTTTATTATGCGTTTGTCAGTAGCGACTGCTAGGTCCATAAGGATCAATGCCTTGCTTCCTTTTTCTCAGGTGGACGTGCTCTTTCAATTACACCAAGTAAGAATACCATCGAAGATATAATGGAAGGAATTAAATCACCCCCGGCCATATCCATCTCGAAGAGAGCTGCTTTAAACGATTCAACAATAAATTTGCGCGATTTGGGTACTCCGGAACATCATGAGCCTTCTACATCACAAACACCTTCCGTTCCTAAGGAGCCGCACATTTTCATGTTTATCGAGACGAGCGGTGATGTATATCTCCTTATTTTCGGGGTAATATTTTGTATGGCCACTTCTGTCTCACCATCCCTTTTATCCATTTTGTTTGGACGAGCGTTCGACAAGCTAGCCCAGTACAGCCAAGGCAATTACCGATCTTTCGGTGCTTTCAATCATGACTTGCGCATGGCATGCTTTGCAATCACCGGCCTCGGCCTCGGGTCTTGTATCTCCGTATGGTTCACTATTTCAATATGGATGATGATCGGCGAGAGACAGCAGATCAAAGCTCGCACTCGGATCTTTAAAGCATTTTTCGGGAAGGAAATGGCTTGGTTCGACGCCAATAAACAATTGATGGGCGATTTGGCTCAGATTAATCGGTGTGTGGAGGAGTTGAGGGCGGGAACATCAGAAGCTGCTGCCCTACTCTTACAGTGTGTATGCTCCATCATCGCGTTGACCGTCACCTCTTTGTACTACTCTTGGTCTTTAACCCTTGCAACATTAGCTGGTGCACCCTTGATTATAGGCTTCGGATGGTACTTTTCCAAATTGACGGAAAAATATGTGACCCAGGATAATACAAACGCTTCAGTAGCCTCAAACATTATTGACTGGAATATTGGCTCAGCCCACCAGGTGCGTTTGTTCAATGCCCAAGCTGTGGAGATGGACCGGTTTCACGTGGCCTGTCTAGCTTGCACCAATTCTTTTCTTCGCTTGAACCTTGTCATGTCGTCCAACCTCTCGTGCTTGAGGTTTTTTGTCCTAATGATGTTTGTCCAAGGATTCTGGTTTGGTAATACCATGGTAAAGGCAGGCAAACTTACGGCGGGGGATGTTATGACTTGTTTCATGTCTTGCTTGATGATTGCTCTGACTGCCAGTGGAATAACGGAACAGTTGATCCATATTCAGAAGGCAAGAGTGGCCGCGGTAAAAATCGCCAAGTTCCTCAATACCAAAAAGCTTTTGACTACGCCAAGCTTCAACCATGGGAAACTCAGCCTTTACCCCGACCAGTTCCTTGGAAATATTAGCTTCAAGAATGTATCCTTTGCCTATCCTTCCAGAAAACATCAGATAATTCTCAAGAGCGTCAGTTTGTCGTTTAAGGCGAACCAAACTACGTTTATCGTGGGGGTTTCCGGTTCGAGTAAATCCACTTTATTCCAGCTTTTATTTGGTTTCTATTTACCTTCAGCGGGGAGAGTGGACGTGGATGGATTTGAAGTGAGAAATGTCAACGAGGGTTGGTTAACAGACAATATCACACTAGTTCAACAAGAGTGTATCTTGTTCAACGATACAATCAGGAATAACATCACTATGACGTCCAACGGAAATGACCCAGAGACGTCTGATAGGTTTGCAGAGGCTTGTAAGATTGCCCTTGTGAATGAGATGGTGGAGGATTTTCCTGATGGCCTTGAAACAAATATAACAGCAAAGGGTACTTCGTTGAGTGGTGGTCAGAGACAGAGAGTTGCGTTAGCTAGGGCTATTTTCAAAAACCTGTCCGTTCTTATTTTGGATGAAGCTGTATCAGCCTTGGATATATCCCTCCGAAGGAGGGTAATGTTCAATATTCGAAAATGGCGCCGAGAGAAGACTACTATCATCACGACCCATGAGCTTGACACGATATCCCCGGACGATTATGTCTATGTGATGGAAGATGGGAAGGTGTGCGAAAGCGGTACGAGCCAGCTGTTAGAGCTCCAAAGGGACAGCGCGTTTAGTTGGTTGAGGTCCAGGGATCGTGAGGGTGCAAGAGAGCTTGAAGAGTTGCCAAGAGAAAATAGTGTTAATCCGTTTTCAAATGCCTTCAGAGTAGAAGATAATGTTTACTTTGAGTTCTCAAAGCCCCTCAACAGTCGGTACTCTGCGGTTTCCCATAAGTTTCTCTTAGGCTTTTCGGAGAGCCCTAGCCAGCATGGTTACGTTTCTGAATCTTCAATCGATCTCTGCGATCATAAAATCTTGAGCTACCATACTCCGATTTCGTCGGAGCAGGAGGCTGTGGAACTGTACAAACTCGATACAGCTACGAGACCATATAAGAGAACGGTTCCGAGTACAAAAATATCTACCGAAGTGATGGGGGTGATTGAAATTCTAAGGTTTATGATGGGGCATATCCGAAAGAAGTTGCACTTGGTCTTGGGGGTCATTTGTGCCGTTATAAACGGGGCATCCAATCCAGTATTTTCCTTTGCGTTTTCCAAGTTAATAAGCGGTATTATTACCAGTGATAAAGATGTTATGGATGCTCACTTCATCCTCAAATGGTCGATAATTGTGATAGCAATCTGCATTGTGGATTCCGCCACCACCTTTGGAAAGTCCATCTTTCTTGGTTACGCTGCTGAGATGTGGATCTTGGAGTGCCGTAAACAAAGTTTTGACTCCATCTCCAAACAGGAGGTTTCTTGGTTCAGTGGAGCCAACCGTAACCCAGCCGAGATCTCAGCTCTACTTATGAATGACACACGAGACTTGCGGAACTTGGTCTCGGAATTCCTAAGTGTCATAGGGAGTATTTTCGTTCTTTTGACCGTTGGAATTATCTGGGCCCTAGTGACTGGTTGGAAGTTATCACTTGTTGGGATTTCGTTGATCCCTTTGTTTGCCCTTTGCACGATGGCGTATTCCGGGTTTCTTCGATTCTCAGAAGCGTCTTACAAGGTAGCAGTTGCTGAGCTCGAGAACCAAGTGCACGACACGGTGGATGGGATTAGAACCATCAAGTGTTTAAACATGAAGCGCCATTTTTGCCACTTATTTGACACACAAAGAGATGCCCTCCTAAGGCTGGGGACTAACAGGGCTGTACACACGGGAATGGGCGTGGCTATTAACAGCTTAATCACCTATCTCTGCCAGTCGATTTTAATGTACTACGGGGTCAGATTAGTGGCCATGGGAACATACACGTCTGGTCAAATGTTTCTTGTGTTTACTTTACTAGTGTTTTCGATGACCACAGCAGGCCTGTTGATGGGTCAGTTGCCAGATATTAGCAGGGGTCAAAGAGCTGGCACCTATATCGTCGAGTTACTCAGGCTTCCTCCTTCGGACACCGAGACATCAGGAGCCCTGGACCTCTTCAGCATTTTCCAAGCGCCGTATCCCTTGCTTGAGTTTAGAGACGTCACATTTGCTTATCCAAGTAACTCTGATGTGTTGGTATTAGATGGACTAAACCTCCAGATCCACAAGGGCGAAACGGTATGCATCATGGGCCAGTCTGGGAGCGGGAAGTCCACCATTGCGTCTCTCATGTCAAAGTTGTACTGCCCTACCGCAGGGTCGGCTCTGTGGAATGGCGTCCCGGTGACCAGGCTACTGGCTTTTTGGTTGCGTTCTCAAATTGCGGTTGTACCTCAAACGGCCACATTTTTCGAGGGGACGCTACGGGACAATTTGCTGTACGGATTGGCCGAATTGGTATCTGACGCGCAATACGAGGAGCTGTTGAAAATGGCGAATATCTATGACTTTACGGTTTCATTACCCCAAGGATTGGAAACCCGGATAGGAGGTTCTTCAAATCTACTTATTTCTGGAGGACAGGCCCAGAGGCTTTCCATCGCTCGAGCCTTGCTTAGGAGACCAAAGATTCTCATCATGGACGAGTGTACCTCGGCTCTTGACACCGAAAACACTCAGATAATTGCGGATTTGATCACTAACAACTTGAGCATCCAGAAGGGGCTTACAACAATTGTTATTACCCATTCAGAGAGCTTGATGAGAGCGTCTTCTAGAATCCTCACCATTAAGGAGGGAGCTGTCTGCGAACTGGGTAGTTTTCAGCGATTGTACAACCGGCGGGGGGAATTTTTCCGAATTGTTGCCAGTGGTAGGCAATAGTATATTTAGTCACTATCCATTAAATATTAGACAGTACTTACTCTCTCAAGCCCATATCTTTACGAAATAAATATAGGATTTTTCTCTTCAAGCCATGAAGATCGGCATTCTTCCGTATCCCACCATATGTAATTATCTAATGTATTTGAAATAGGCAAGTTCCGGGGTTGACAATCTGAGCTGCTAGATGGAGGCTTTATCAATAAATTAAGCCACCTCCAAACATTGAATTTTTTTTAATACCTGTACACTGCGCCTAAACGGTCCGATTTGGAGACCACGGTTTATCTAACTATCTTCTTTTCTTACCGGGTCAAGCGGGTAGCTTACGCTGCTTACACAGTAACCAAGCGGGGGACTATTATCCGCGGCTTAGAATCAGCCACTTCAGAGAATATTAACTAAAAGGGATAAAAGTCCGCTGCCATAACCAATACGTATTAAGTTGGCTGCTAAAACTTTTTATTCATATTATCAGGCTGGAAGAGGCCCTCAATTCTCCGTCACGATCGAGCTGAAAATTCCTGCCCCTACCTAGAATTTTTTTTTAACTAGACAAAGTGACAAGCCGGCGTACATTCTGGTCTCATAACCCTATGAATGGCTATCAACGTGTTTCATCATTAGTCCCACCCAAAATGTTGCCCACATCTAGCATTATCTCTCCTTTTAAAACCTCGGCTCAAAAGATTTCCAATTTTTCATCTCCTTAAAATTTCCCCTTTGTTCAACTTCCTTATACCAACCGGTGTCTCAGCATGGCTAAGGCGTTCCATACAAGACACGCCTTTGGTCGTGTACCCACCTCCCGCAGCCATGCTGACCGGTTCACTTAAAATAGATTTCGGGCGTGTTGATCTGCCTCTTCAGTTCCTTACGCTTTCACACCATGGCGATGACGTTGATACGAAAGAAAATCGTGGTGGTTACCGCCGCGGTGTTTTTCATTATCTTGTTGGTGACGCAGTTAAACCCGAAACACACATCGAAGGTCTTGGAGAGAACACAGAACATCATCCCCAACGACAGCATGCTCGTGTCCAATAACGCGAAGAAGGAGGCAGAGTTCTTGAAAAAGTTTGAGAAGGTGACTCTGAAGTTGTTGGAGTCGCAGAATGAGAAGATCGCCAAGTTGATGAAGCAAAACCAGGTGCTTGAGAAGAAGATTGACCACTTGAGCAGACCGCCGCCAGAGGCGTCGTTGCGCGAGAAGCTCGCATTCTCCTTCCCGTATGACCAGACACGCAAGTTCCCTGCGTACATCTGGCAGACGTGGAAGTGGGGCCTCAACGATGACCGTTTCGGTGACAGCTTCAAGGAGGGCGAGATGCAGTGGGCGATCAAGAATCCCGGCTTTGTGCACGAGTTGTTCAACGATGACACGTCCTCAGCTATCGTGCACCACCTCTACATGAATATCCCCGAGATTGTGGAGGCGTACGATTTGTTACCAGCGGTTATCTTGAAGATGGACTTCTTCCGATACCTCATCTTGCTCGCCAAGGGCGGGGTCTACGCGGACGTGGATACGTATCCGTTGCAGCCAGTGCCGAACTGGATTCCAGAGAATGTATCGCCAAACGAAATCGGTATGGTGGTCGGGATCGAGGCCGACCCAGACACCCCAAAGTGGCGATTGATGTACGCGCGTCGTTTGCAGTTTGCGCAGTATGTTATTCAGGCCAAGCCGGGCCACCCGATTTTGCGTGAAATCGTGGCCAAAATCACCGAAAACACGTTGCGCAAAGCTGAGCAGGGTAGCATGGAGTTGCCCGACTCCAAGACCAAGCACATCGATATCATGCAGTGGACCGGTGCCGGGCTCTGGACCGACGTCATCTTCACCTACTTCAACGACTACGTGCAGTCCGGTATCTACTCCAAGATCACCTGGAAGGATTTCACCAAGTTGGATATTCCAAAGTTTGTTTCGGACATCTTGGTCTTGCCCATCACCTCCTTTTCTCCGGGCGTCGGCTCTATGGGTGCCGGCGGCGAGGACCATCCGTTGGCTTTTGTCAAGCACTCCTTTGGGAAGTTGTGGCAGTAATGCCGATATACTGTACACGTTTTGAATAGAATGGGTGTAGGCTAGAGGGTTTGTAGCAAGATTATCTTGATAGGCTTGGATTTATCTTCCACGGAAGATACTTGGCGTAGGTGAAGGGTCGATACGAGTAGTAAGGATAGGGTGTCTGGGTCATCTCGTTTGATTTATCGCCCCAGCTGTTTTGCGTATGGTCATGGATGGATGCCGGAAGGAGAATAAAAATGGCAGACGATAACAACTATGGCAGCCTCCTGTCTACCATATGTGGACAAATGAGGCACGAAAAATCTCAAACGTCAATTGCCAATGATCTATCAGACTACGTTCTTGGTGTAATACGCTCACTTAGAATTACTGGTAATGTGCTATATTCAGGTATGGTTATCTTCTAGGGTTCATTACGAATGCTTGACGTTAATATTTTATGCATATTCATCAATAATAGGCGGTAGACGCTATACGTCAATATAGCAGACTAGTTTCGATGCCGTTTTTAGGCAAGAATACGTGTACGCACGCAATGTAGAGCTTTTACCGCCAAAAATACAAGAATAAACCCAACCTGGCGAGGTAAAATTAATATCTATTGATATTTGGATTCTAACCCGCAGTTAATAGAATCAATGTGGTTTAGGTCTATATATTTATGGGTCACTATGGGCTTTGACGCAAACGGTAGATGGACTGTTCCAAGGGCCTCCTATGACAAGCCAACCTCTGCCGGTTTGAATTTCTCTAGTCGAAAATCATAAAGCGGAATCCCCAAAGCTTTGAAGGGGTTTCATTTAAACCATAAGCTGCCGAAGCCACAGATCTTGTCTTTGTTGAAGCTATAAATCTACACATGCCTGACGTTACACAATTTTCTGTTTGTCTTTAGCGGTTGATGACAAAAATCCCTTAGGAATAATTAAATCCTCGTGAAAAGGTGTATCCGGTGATTCGAGCAATCCCAGCTATTATTATCCGCCAGGCAGATCTGAAGAAACTTAAAACGGTTTACCTAGCGCTTTGACTTCCCTCTTAACTCCTTTAGAAATCCCCAAGACTCTTTAGCTATAAACCCAACCATATTTTCCTTTTTTCCTGATTCCCTCCCAAGACTATTAAACAGATTTAAAGCTTCTTACCTTATGTTTTAATCTCCGACATTTGCGTTTACATTCTAACCTTATTCTGGTGCCGTCTCCACCCAACAACAGTGTCTGCGCCACCCCTGCGCCACTCATACAGCTGCATCACGTGCCCCTATGCTCAGAGCCCGCATATATTTGCAAACAAAATTTCTACTACGCTCCAACCATCCTTATTCCCCATATGTCTTCCGAACAAGTACGTACAGCCTATAGCCCCAACCAACCCACACTAACCTTTAGACCGACGAAAGCGAATTCCTCAAGTTCATTGCACTTGGGGGTGGCAACGAGGTGGGCCGCTCGTGTCACATCCTTCAGTACAAAGGCAAAACTATCATGGTACGTGACATATTTATAACCGCCCTTCCTCATACTAACTTTCCAGTTGGACGCAGGAATTCACCCAGCACACCAGGGGATTGCGTCTTTGCCGTTCTACGATGAGTTCGATCTCTCCACCATCGACATTCTCCTCATTTCGCACTTTCACTTGGACCACGCGGCGTCGCTTCCGTACGTGATGCAGCACACGAACTTCCGCGGCCGTGTGTTCATGACGCACCCGACGAAAGCGATCTACCGGTGGTTGTTGAGTGACTTTGTGCGCGTGACTTCCATTGGAAACGACAACGCCGAGGGCGGTAACTTGTACACAGACGACGACTTGATCGAGTCGTTTGACCGGATTGAAACGGTTGATTTCCACTCCACGGTCGAAATCGAGGGTATACGCTTTACGGCGTACCACGCGGGGCACGTGCTCGGCGCGGCGATGTTCCTCATCGAGATTGGAGGCTTGAAGATCTTGTTTACGGGCGACTATTCGAGGGAGGAGGATCGGCACTTGAACATCGCAGAGGTGCCGCCGGTCAGACCCGATGTATTGATTACCGAGTCGACGTTTGGGACCGCGACCCACGAGCCACGAGAGGACAAGGAGAGCCGGTTGACGAACCTCATCCACGACACGGTCTTGAAAGGCGGGCGGTGTTTACTTCCGGTGTTTGCGCTAGGCAGAGCCCAGGAGATTTTGTTGATTTTGGACGACTATTGGAAGCACAACGCGGACTTGCAGTCCATTCCGGTGTACTATGCTTCGTCGTTGGCACGCAAGTGCATGGCCGTATACCAGACATACATCAACATGATGAACGACAGCATCCGACTTAAATTTAGGGACTCGCAGACCAATCCGTTTCAATTCAAGTACATCAAGTCGATCAAGAATCTCGATAAATTCGACGACTTTGGCGCATGCGTGGTGATTGCGTCACCCGGAATGCTCCAAAACGGTGTGTCGAGGGAGTTGCTTGAACGGTGGTCGCCCGATTCCAAGAATTCGTTGATTTTAACGGGTTATTCCGTGGAGGGGACCATGGCGAAGGACATCTTGACCGAGCCCACTGTCATTCCGTCTGTTAACAATCCCGAGCAGATGATTCCCAGACGTATCCGGATCGAGGAAATCTCGTTTGCGGCGCACGTGGACTACGAGCAAAATGCAAAATTCATCGAGTTGTTGAACCCCAGCTCTATCATCTTGGTCCACGGCGAGTCCAACCCAATGGGCCGCTTGAAGTCGGCGTTGTTGTCGAAATACGCCAAGTTTAAAAGCACCGCCCAGGAGGTTAAAGTGTACAATCCCCGCAACTGTGACGTGGTACGGCTACCGTTTAAGGGTGTGAAGGTGGCCAAGGCAACCGGAATCGTTGCCAGTGTACATCCACAGCCAGGTTCCGTCCTTAGTGGTGTTTTGGTCAACAAGGACTTTGATTTGCAGTTGTTGAAGCCCGCGGATTTGCGCGAGTACTCCAATTTGACGTCCACGATTGTGCGCGAGCGCAACACCGTTGCGATCAATGCAACAAAAGAATTGTTGGCGTGGCACTTGGTCCAGATGTTTGGCCACGTCGATGTTCTCATCGATGAGGACGACGAGTATGAAATTACAATCATGGATGCAGTCACAATCAACTACGATTTGCCCCAGAAACTCGTCGTGGTTGAGTGGGAAAGTGGGGTAGTTAATGACACGATTGCCGATTCGGTGATTGCCATTGTCTTGGCTGTGGACTCGTCTCCCGCCAGTGTTAAGTTGTCCTCAAAGCTGTGCACTCATGACCACGCAAAGATCGAGGAGACGGACGATGTTCTGGAAAAGATACACACCTGCAAGATTTCGCCGCCGCCGTTCAGTTCCTCACCGGCCGAGGACCGTCTTGCGCGTATCCTCACGCTCTTGAAGGTGCAGTTCGGCAAAACCCTTGCGGTGGATGACATGGGAGACTCCGCTACGATCAAGATCGGGAAGACAGAGGCCACTATCGACTTACACGCGTTGAAAGTAACATGTGCGTCAGCCGTCATCAGAGGGAGAATCGAGGGGGTCTTGAAACGCGGTGCCTCCCTCGCCGCCCCGTTGGCCCAGAAAAGGAAATAAAAAAAGAAAATTATTTACTATAATCGACTATTTGTACACATAGACTAAAGTGGGTTTGTAGTTTATTGCAAGAGATATGCGGAGTAGGAAAGTAAAACTTCGGCGCACAAAAAGTTTAGGTAAATTTAATCCCTGGCATAAACTGGAGTGAGAATATACGTATGCTTTATCCTTATAATGTAATAATTTTGAATATACGTCTAGATCAGCCGCATGCCAAGTTTTATATACAGGGCTGATCCATGCTTAAAACTGGTAAGCCTCCGAGCACCTCTTCCTGTAGCTGCAATATCTTACCGATATGTCATACGTTAAGCAGCAACTATACGGGGGGGCTATCACTACCCATATTCCAAACGGTCTCTTAGATGCGTCCACCCTCCGCCAAATTCCAGACTCCCAGGAGGTGTTCTTGAACCCAAAACTGGACGCCGATAGTGAGGGGATGCTTCGTGAGGACGACACCTTGATCATTGAGCTCATGGAGAGGCTCGAGAACGATACAGATTTAGACTCTATTAAAGAGCACTTATCTGAGATCTCCAACTTGAACGGAGTGGGCAAGACTGAGTGGCAGATCTTGAAGCTCCACGAGGTGCTGAACCCAAGCTTGATTGAGGACAAGGCGTACATCGCGGTCGTCTCAGAACCAGCGAAGAAGTGGGGTCGCGAGACAGAAGGCACCATTGAACTGACCTTAGTGTTGGTTTTTGGAATATTGAGAATCAACAAGCTGGAAACGGATCTCCTCGTCAACTTGAACTTGCCGTTCAAGGCTGCCGCTGAGTTGAAGGCATTGAAAGCACTTATGGAGGACGAGGAGACCCACGCCAATGAAGGAAATTCGGCTTGGAAGAGAATCAGCCAGGGTGATGCGGTTGTTACAAAGGTGCTTGAGTCTATGAGGATTGAAGACTGGGGGTTGTTTGGCATGTAGACAAAGCGAGTGGCAGTAACCCTAAGGACAAATCATATCCCAAAGAGTATAAGAATATAGTTATGACAAGTGATAAAAAAAAAAACCTCATAAGGTGTATGTTTTGTGAAGTTCCTTCTGGCTGTTTTGGAGTTGAGAGCCCTTTATATTGCACCCAAACGAGAACAGCATACACATGGTCAGCTCTACACTTGTAGCACATGAAAATTTGACTAAAATCCGTCTCTGATTGAAAACTACACTGCCTCGAATTCCTTGCTAACATAAAATTAATTAAAACTTAACTAGAATCCGATGGATTGCTAAACCTAGCATTTATAATGACGACATTAATACCTACAACTTGATACACACAAACGGAACCTCGACATCTTCGCCCTCCTTGTCATCAACACACACCTCCAAGATGATATTCTTTACATGAGGCTCAACATCCTTCTTGGACACCTCCTTGATCAAATCGGTGATCTTCAAGTCATATCTGTCCTTCAACTTCTTTGGTGGGAAGAAGGACGCGTACAACAACGACACATCGTACGAGAGCATGGTGATCTCTAAGCCCTCCTTCTGTTCGAAGTGATCTATGATCTGCCTCAATGTCAAGTTACCCTCTAACTCGAAACGCGACCAAATCTTGTCGAACTCCTTGTCGTTGTACTTGCTCTTCTGGGACGCAATCGGCTCGGAGAAGCCAAAGAATGGCAACGCGAGGTTGATGAACCCGTTCTTGTACTGCTCGACGTCGGTCTTGCCGGCGACAACCTTGTACAACTCGAGACAAATCAAGCCTGTGACCAACGAAGTAGTGGTGGCGATCGCCGGAATGATTCTCCCGGCAATGAACTTGGTCTTCTGGCGATCTGCCGTCTCGATCGCGTAGTTCAAGGCACGGCAGTTTGACGCTGCGGCGATGAACTCGATGTGGTGATTGGTGTCGTCGTCTTTTTCGAACTCTACCGGGGTCAAGCGGTAGCCCGCGAGGCTGGCAGATGCCGGTAACGAACCCGCCAACTTTCTCACCACGTCATCGTCGGCGCTGACATCAGCGTTTGGATCTGGGTCGTTGTCATTCGCCTGGATCTTGACCCCGGACTTCGGAGTGAATGGTTCCAAGGTGGCCTCAACCTCAGCAATCACCCTTTTGTAGGTTTCAGGCATGGCATCGCCCTTCAACCCGTATATGAAAGCAAGTAAGTTCGCCCCAGCCACGACAAAGTGGTAATGGTCCTCGTTGTTGATATCAAACTGTAACGCTTCCGGCGCTCTCTTGGGACCGGACCAGAACGGCGCGCCAGCGGAGGTGGTGGCATCCTTAGGGAAGTTGTACAATAACTGGTGAATCTCATGGTTGAACTTCTCCTCGAACTGCAATCTGGCCCATTTGATACAGTCGTCGAACGCGTACGGACGCTCGTTCAAGTAGGTCGATACTGTCTCCAACACGCCCTTGACGTCGCCGCTGGACTTTAACGTGGACTCCACAAAATCTGGCTGGGTGAGGTACAAGTTCACGTTCTCTGGCGCGTCTGCAAAGTAGCCTTGGAACAATGACTTGGCCCACGCGATGGTGTGGTCGATTTTGTTTGGGAACGATCTCAAGGTGCACAACGGAATGGACTTCTCTGGGGGGTCCTGGGAGGACGAGTAACTCTCAGTAACGTCAGGGATAACCACCTGGGTGTTACCCTTGGTCCCCAAGGTTCCGGATTCGAGAAGCGCCTTCTTGTAGAACACACAGCGACGGTCAACATAGGTCCGGGCTTCGACATTGTCCAACGCATTGGTGACAAAGTCGATCCCGTTCCAGAACGCATCGTCAAAAATGTGCTCGGTGTCGGCACCCACCTTCTCCAAGCTTGCCTGGATCTTGCCAGCCAAGTCTGGGTTCATCTGCGAAACCGCAGCCGCAGCCACCTCCGATTTGTTCTTGCCCACGTCTTTTGGTCTAAACAAAAACTGTCTGTTCAAGTTGGACTTCTCAATAGAGTCCATGTCGGTGACAATGATCTTGCCGTGTTCTCCAGACCCGAGGCCCATCATGGCCCAGTTCTTTAACATCTCGCACCCAATGGCACCAGAACCGACCAAGAATACCCGTACATCCGCAATCGCCTTCTGGTAAGCTGCACCAAACACCGCGACCTGGTTGTCGTAGCGGGATCCGGTCGGCTTGCACGTCTCTTCGGATCTCGGATACTTTTCAGCATCCGGCAATGACTCGAGTGAGTCAAAGTACAACCACTGCTTGACCGGGTTGAATTTGCCGGAACACGCCTTCAAGACCTCCTGGGCCAATAAACCCCCATAGACCGCCACCATCCCCGGGATATCTCCTCTGGCCTGGTACGCCAACTCGGTGATGAGTTTTTCGTTCACGGCGGCTTCACCTAGGATAGCTGGCACCTGAACAGCGATCTCTTTCGCGAGCCTGACCAACTCGGCCGCGTCCTCTGCATGGTGAGGTCTCGGCAACTGGCTGTGTCTGGTTTGGAACGCGTGTAACGCCTGGAAACCCACGTGGTACTGGGGTGGGCGATCAAACTTGGCAAAGTCCGAGTAGACGTACTCCGGCGCTTGCAACTGCTGCAAAAGCGGTTGAAATGACACCTGCTGCGGCATCTTGACCTGGGTGAAGATACCGCCCTTGGCGTAGGACCCGGCGTTTGCCGGAAGTTCCACCTTGAAGGCATATGGGCCGAGATTCTGGATCTTGTATGGCGTACCATCGTTCAAGGCTTCCATACCCTCAACTTCGGTAAACCTGACATAGTCACCGGATTCCATCCCGTGACGGTTGTCATCAAGCATGGTGATGGTTCCGTCGGTTTCAATATCGGAGATGATCCCTTGTACTGGCTCTTCACCTGTGGAATCAATCACGGTGAAGTCTGGCCCGAGATCCACGAACGCCTGTGCGAACAACCCGCGCACGTCGGCGGCAATGAACTTAATGTTTCTGGCGTGGGTGAGCGTGTTGATTTGGACCTGCTGCTCTAAACTGGTTTCAGTGGCGACCACCACCTGGAAGGTTGCCAACGTCAGTTCGCTCAATTCTGAGATGACGCTAATTGGTACGTATTGATTTAACTCGCTGAGCTTCACCGAGGAGGTGAGAGCTCTAGGCTTGCCCACGTCTTCAGGCGAGAGAAAAAACTGCGACGATAAATCAGAAAGCGCAACTGGCGTCGGGTCATAGAGTGATAACGACTTGACCCCCGCGAGCGCCACGTTCTTGGCGATTTCCATTCCCAACCCCTTCAACCCAATGATCAACACATTCGAGTTTTGCATCTTGAGCATGGCGTCCTTGCCCAATACATACAACTGTCTGGAGTAGAGACCTTCGTCCATCTTGTTTTCTTGTTTGTCGATTTCCATAGTAATGTGTGAAGTGAGTAGTATGAGGTGATCTGAGTTGAATTGAGGAACGTTTGAAATACGGTAGCCGCCGGCGTGCGAATTAGGGAGTAAAAAAGGTGGCAACGTCCTTCCGGGAGGCGAAGGAGCCGTGTCCTGTACGAAGTCGTCATGGACATGGGTTGAGTGGCTGGAGGATGAAAGCAGCTAGAGCTTCTATTCTGCTTTTCTCGGGTCTCGAGAGGATATCTTCCATATACTCGGCTTCTCTTTAATTTCAATTATAAAAGCTATATTTTCCCTCTTTAACTTGCGTATCTCTTCTTTCGTTCTCATATTTGTCCCCTTTTTTGAGCTATAGATCACGTGTGGATGCCACACTTAGATGCCGGAACGCCAGAGACTGGCCATTGGAGAGATGCTAACTGCCACAAAGCCTAACCGTTACAGAGAGGGTACTAGGGACCGACTGGTAGACCCTGAACGCGTTGTAAAGCCCGGTAAGGCCTGTGGCAGAAGAATGGCATCACCGATAGAACAATACCATACTGTCTCTCAAGAATGCATGCAAAACCGTTTTCCCGCCCCTTCTCGCTTGCGCTGCTCCTCCATACGATTCCCAAGGCAAACAAGCTCCCGCCGCGGCCAAAAATCACGCCTGAGACGGAGCTCGTACTCAAAGAAGTGTTTCTCAAAGGTGGCTCCGGCGCTGGTGGCCAGAAGATCAATAAAACCAACTCCAAGGTACAGTTGACGCACTTGCCGACAGGGCTCGTGGTGACGAACCAGGCCACGCGCTCGCGCGACCAGAACCGCAAGATCGCGCGGATGATTTTGGCGCAGAAGTTGCAAGATATGGAGAGTCCCGAGACATCGCGGACGGCCGTGCTCATCGAACGGAAACAGAAGATTAAAGCAAGTAAGCAGAAGGGCTCAAACCGAAAACAAAGGGAGATTGAGGAGGAACGTGCTAGAAAGTTGGCGGTGCAGCAGGCTGAAATGGACCGTATGTTGGAGGAGGCGGGGCTCAAGCCGAAAAGGCAAGATGAGGCTGCACAAGAAGGGATTGGGTCGAGGGAGACCAAACCATCTGGAGTTGAGAAGTTTTCTAGAGGAGAAAAGTGAGAGACAAGTTGGATGAAACCCTCCGGTTGTAAATTTGACATGAACCATCCCTGTATATAGAAGGATCCCAAGAATCGACCTAGCCGAAAGGTAAAAACGTATAGGTTGTAGTCTAAAAGAGAAATTGGCTATTAGCCCTGGGCTATCATGATACCTTTTTCTACGCTGCATATCGTTTAATACCACCGTAGAACAATTCTTTAAAACAATATGCACGTCATCGAACCTAGATATGGTTAATCGTGCAATATACTAGGTGATAGATATGACTGTACGCCTTCAAAGGCCAAGCAGTTCACGTCTGTAAGAATTCTGTAAGAATTTTCACTTGCATCTTTATAGTGAGACATTCCCAGGGCATGAAACTAGATTCTTCTAATCTCCCCAAGGTATTTACGATTCTACAACCTAATACTATCCGTGGTATTTTAATTAAGTGCACTAGTACTGATCCCGGAACACACGCTGACGTTGGAACTTGAAGCTGATGGATTCGCGCCTCTCCATGATCATTAAGGCACGGTCCAAGGCCATCTGGGTATGCTTTCTGCCCTCGACAAATTCACGTCTCAAGGTGCGGTAGAGGATACTCCAGCCAATAGGCAATCTTCTCTTGATCTCATTTTCCACGAGCACCACTTCGGCCATCAACTCCTTGTTGTTCCCCCCGTCCAACGCGTTCTGCCCCGCCGCGTCCATCGTGGAGGCGTAGAACAATCTGATGGCCTCGTCAACGTGTTCGATAGTGGCAATCGTCGCCAATTCCAACTTAGCCAACGACTCGGTGATTCTGACAATCGCCTCCAACTGACGAACCGTGATTGGAATCGTTGACTTTGCCAAGTTTTCCGCCTCGCTGCCCTGGATCTTTTGTCGGATGTCAACAAAGTACGAGGATAACTTCTCAGAGGCTTCAGGCGACAATCTCGGGGCGCAGTTTGCGCGCGCGTACGAGATAAACTTTTTCATCTTTTCAATCGGAATTTCACCCTCTCTTTCGGCATCATTCTGGTTAGACCTCCCCGTGTGCACGTTCATGACGTGCTGGGCGATGGAAATGTCTCGCGCCTCATTGTGGTCGTCCTTGACGATGAAAATCATGTCGAATCTGGACAAAATCGTGGTTTGGAAGTCAATATTTTCGCCGGGAGACTTCATTTCGTCATACCTCCCATAAATGGGATTAGCAGCTGCGAGAACGGACGTTCTAGAGTTTAAAATGGTGGTGATACCGGCCTTGGCGATCGAAATTGTCTGCTGCTCCATCGCTTCGTGGATCGCCACTCGGTCTTCGTCCCTCATCTTGTCGAACTCATCGATACATACTACCCCCCCGTCTGCCAACACCATCGCACCACCCTCCAAGTAGAAGTCACGGGTATGGGGGTCTCTCTGCACCGAGGCGGTCAAACCGGCCGCGGACGAACCCTTACCCGAGGTGTACACACTAATGGGACTGACCTTCTCCACAAACTTCAACAACTGGGATTTGGCCGTACCAGGATCACCGAGAAGCAACACGTTGATATCACCTCTCAAGCGCATGTTATCCGGCAAGAGCTTCTTTGAGCCGCCCATCAAGAGACACGTGATGGCCTTTTTGATATCCTCGTTCCCATAGATGGACGGCGCAATTGACTTGGAAAATGTCTCGTAGAAGCCAGGCTGTCTGGCGAGGGTCAAAAACTCCTCCTCCTCCTCTTCCGTGAAGTTCATGCCCCCGATCCCACTGCCCTTGTTCAAGTCGGTCTGGATTCCGAGGATCTTCATGTACGGGTTTCTGATCGCCACGGAGTTTGCCCCTTTGACCTTTGCCTGGTAAATCGAGTAGATCCCGATGATGTTGCAGCGCGTTCCGGGGATAATACGGTTCGTGAGATATCTGTCTGCGTTGAGGAGAATGTGTCGTGGCATTTCACCCACAGGCACCATATCCGGTGATTCCTGTAACTTCAAGCTTTGCTGATCTACAAACACAGACTTCTCATGTACAATCGTGTATGGATCCGGTGGACAGCTGTTGGTTTCTGAGCCTGGTTGTGGCGGCGCCCCACACTGTTTTGGCAACTGAACGTTGGCAAACCCATGCTGCCCGACGCTGATCTTGGTAGTGTGTTTACATGAGCGACACAAGATCTGTAACGATGTAGGTCTGGAGGATAAGACCGACGCCGAAATGACGATTCCGCTGATCCGCACAATCTTTGCAATATGGTCGGCATCCAAGTCGCGGATCGAAACCTTCTCCGCCTGTGAGTCGAGGATGAGCTGGCACGTAGGGAATGTGAGAGGTACTTCCTCGGAGGTCAAGAACGCAATACGTTTAGCAACCTCAGTGATCGCCGTCTCGAAGAGCGGAAGCATCTCGGTGGGGTCGTCCGATAACTTCTTGTTCAATTCGTCATTGTACCGGATCAAGTGCTCGGTGTTGACCGTCAACGAGTACTGTTTGATGAGCACGTTTTCGCGCAACTGATCTCTGTAGATGAAACGCGAGTCGAGTCTAAACTCGAGGATGAACAGGCGGAACGCCTTGATGACCTCTGAGAAGGAGTCGTCAGCGGTTTCGGCACCCGCTAACACGCGGGCCCCGTAGGTATCTGGTCTATCGAAGGACATTGTATGGTAGGGAGTTGGCAAAGTGTGTGAGAAAAAAAAAGAAAAAGAGAAAGGCTTTAGAAAGAGATAGGGGTTGTACAAATAAGTGGGAACATTCGAGATCTCGACGCGCCGCGTTAATGAAAAATTACGCGACGCACACTATTTACCCAAAAGGGAAATATTAAAATAAGTGCTTATATAAGCGAAAGTAGACTTAGGCGGCTGGGCTACATACATGATAGATTTGCCTTCCGATCCCCAAGCTAGAGGTTTAAAGGAGAGGATTGTGTTTCTCTTCAGGTTATTTTGATTTATTGTGTGCGAGATTGGTGGGTTTGGAAAATATTGGAGGAAAAAGGAGTGCCCCCTACCGGAATTGAACCGGTGGTCTTCCCATTACGAGTGGGACGCCTTACCACTTGGCCAAAGGGGCTGAAAATATTTTCTGGCCTGAATGCATAGCATACAAATGAAAGCTGGCCAGGATAGGTCCATAGGCCCTATTAGGCAAGAGGCTTGCTTATGTAAGCGACAGCATGAATGTACCTTTAATAGAGTTGTACATGAGAGGTTAGCTTTAAGATTAAGACTTAGAAGTAGAGAAAAGGCAAAGTTAAAACAAAATCGCGATTTTTCTCGAGATTTTACCGTCGGAATTTTTTTTACAAAATAACGTTGGAAACGTAAAAACAAATGCCCCCTACCGGAATTGAACCGGTGATCTTCCCATTACGAGTGGGACGCCTTACCACTTGGCCAAAGGGGCTACAACTTGAGGACTTTTTTTATTTCTGTCATATTATGCGATGATGTGTGTTAATAAGCCCGGCAAATCATAAAATGATCAACCGTATACTATTCTATGATAATGGAAAATCAATAACTCGTAGATGAATAAAGATTTTAGGTTGAACATTGCCATACGGTCTCTCAGATGCCCTTCCCCACTTTCGACTTGGGTGCATCTGCACACTTCAAATAAACAGGATAGTATTGTAACGCGTATGCCACCTATATATACTTATACGGCTAAATCGTCGTATGGATGGAATAGCAGATATATTAGTCGAAAAAAGACCAAGCTCACTTTGATTTACTAATATTGTTGGCATCATAGTATTCATTTGTGTGAATGCACAACTCGGATAATTCCTACACACACGTATTTGCGTATAGCCAATGCATTATACTTAGATATCCCCATTACTAGAGAGTTCGTATGATATAAGAAGGATATTTCCATACTTTTGTTTTGTAGCATTACCATCATGATTATTTTCCATCCCTCCAGCTGTATCCGCGAAAAAAAAATTGCCCCCTACCGGAATTGAACCGGTGATCTTCCCATTACGAGTGGGACGCCTTACCACTTGGCCAAAGGGGCTACAACATGAAGAAAATCGGTATCGATGAAAATGTGCGGGGATCAAAAGTAAGTTCTAATATTAATCATATCCATTCCCGCCGCAACCAAGTTTGGTGAACATAACTAACAAGCTACTATAGCTAAGCCGATAGAGGAAACAAGCTGAGAAAATTGGTTTTGGGTAATAACGTGCGGAGTTATTTCACCCTTTCCTACGGATATTCCAGCGACATCTGCGAACGTTCACAATCAGTCTTATCGCATATCTGACACATATCTCCATCACAGCTCCATCTCAACTCTCCACCACCGTCAAGTTTGCTAGACCATGATTCCTCCAGATGCCATTTTTGCCTCTATGGGGATGTTCATCATTGATGAAATCCACTACTCTGAGATGTTTCACCAGGAACCGCAGTACGACATTATTGGCGGAGGTGGGACCTACGGGGCCATTGGTGCCAGAATCTTCGCCACCAAAGACAACCGCACTAGGATTGGCTGGATTGTAGACCAAGGATCTGACTTTCCCGAACATATTCGAACCGAAATTGACAGCTGGTGCACCGGTGTGATCTATCGGAGAGACAACTCCAGGCTCACCACCCGTGGGAAGAACACGTACACGGAGCGGGAGAAACGCGACTTTGAATACATGACACCGAAAAAACGAATTGAGGTGGTTGACTTACTTGAAAATCCTTCATTGTTGAAGTCTCAGACATACCATCTCATCTGCTCCAGTGAGCGGTGTCTTGAGATCATCGGAGCCTTGAAAGAAGGGCGAGCACAGTATGATATTCCGGATCCGGTGATTATCTGGGAGCCCGTACCCTACGACTGCACGCCCGAAAACTTTGCTCATTGTTGTGCAATTTTGGACAGGGTAGACATATTTTCGCCCAACGCAGCGGAGGCAGCAGCATACTTTGACAAGCCAGAACCAAGCGAGCCGGCAGACATTGAAGCCGTTGCAGACGCGTTCCTCCCCTTTTTGAAAAAAAAGTCACTCTATGGCAACGGTGTTGTGTTGCGATGTGGCGCCATGGGATGCTTGGTCAAAACTTCCGTCTCCAAGACTACGAGCTGGATTCCCGCGTACCATAATCCGCAGAACCTGGACTACAAGGTGGTGGACCCTACTGGCGGGGGAAACACGTTTGTTGGGGCCTTTGCCGCGAGCTTTATAGTAGGGAAGGGAAATTGGACTTTGAGCGGCATATGTGGTAACATTGCCAGTGGCATAGCCATCGAAACTATCGGCGCCCCAGTGCTTTCTAGTGCAAATGGGAAGGATATTTGGAATGGGGTGAGCTTGGAAAGCAGGATATCCAGATATATTGAGCGAAACCCGCAGTTGACCGTCTCAGCGGAGGAAGTTTTAGCCATTGTCTGAAGCGTGTTCTGGAGAGCAACTATGGTTTGAGTCAGCTTCAGGGGTAATGGAAAACTATGACTGAGCGGTGAAGAATTACGAAATCGGGTAGCAAATATACAGACTATAAAGCGTCACTACGGTACCGCTTCTGACAGGATACCTCAGCTCCGTTGGAAGTGGGTATGGCTAAAACAGTGTAAATAGGCATCACAAAGGTGATGTAGGGATACCATTGATGCCCTTTGAATATGTCTTTCACTGAGCGAGGTGCCGGAGAGTGTATGGAAATTCACAACGCCGACAACAGTGCGTTCACCAAGCTAAGCTTTGTGGATTATTATCCTTCAACATCCCTCTAATCTGTGATTACAAAGACAACATTGCTAAGTACTAACGTATTAGCCCTTCTCTATTAAGATCTGGGCTTTCTTAGTTATACCCCCGTACCTTACAGTAACTCTCTAGAGACTCACTCTTCAGTCGCTTCAAATTATTCATAGGATCCACACAAAACCTTACCAATTTATGAGTCTCTTACCGGCGATCGTATTCATATTTTTACCCACTGACACCTCTGTGTAGAGCAGCTCTGAAACACTACCATTTATATGCGATCCTTCATCGCATCTAGGCTCACACCAGTGCAGATACGCAGAATTATTCAATGATCACAGTATCTGAACCACCACAATATCTGAATTAATACTCATTCAGACCAATACCTATTCAACATGTCATAAGATTAATGCCTTGTATTATTACGCTTTGTATTCCTTTATTTTCATCAAGAGTGTACCCGAATTGAATATCCTTTTTTCCTATGCCCCGGTTTGAATTCAGCTGGCTCAATTAATATACATTTTCATTCAATTTTCTAACCTGCTCCGTATCGAGATAAAACTCGCCTTGCGCCACGCTAAGGCCCACCTTGATCCCCTAAGATTTGCTCCTCTCGGTGGCTTTCTTCGCTTCGCTCGAGGCTTTCTTCGCACGGAGCTTTACCAAATACTTTTCCATATACCCTTTCGAGAACTCTTTAACCAACGCCTTTTTTGAATTGCCCAACTCGACCGGCGGCTCGCTCCCATGCCGCTTCGTCTCTTTCTCAGCTAACATGCTCAGAATATCCTTCGCACACTTCTTCAAGTTCTCGTGCCCGATCTCCGCCTCGTATTTCTTCAACATATTCGGCACGACCGCCGCAAACGCTTTGGTCCACTTGGCCGCAGGCGTGGCCTTAGGGGATGATTCAGACGCAGACTTGAGACGCATGCGATGCTTTTCTTTGCGCGCGCGACGGGTGTCCGCCTCCAACTGCTCGCGGCGCTTGCGCTCTTCTTCGTCGCGCTGTTTCTTCTCGAAATTGAGCTTGGCATTGCGAATGATCTGGTCCATGTCGCGCATCGAGTTTTTCTTGAGCTCCGCTTCCTTCTGCTTCTCGAGCCGCTGTTGCTCGATGTAGTCACGGAGCGCGCGACCGCGTTCTTTCTCTCGCGCACGGTCCTTGGCTTCTGTCAGCGCCGGGCTGTTGTCACGCGCTCGCACCGGTTCCGCCAGCGGCTCGTCCCACTGCGTGGTTCCTAATGCGCGGTTATAGAAGTATATCTTTCCGGATGCCTCATCTACAGCTGATTCCCAGCCCGCGGGCAACACGACCGGGCTCAGAGAGCGCGACTCCTTGGGCGTCTCGGTCAGTCGTCTGTCGTCGTACAAAATTGCGGCCTCCATCCTGCGCTTCGGAATGCGGTACGCCATTTCCAAGTTGTTCCATGCGCGCAATAACTCAGATGACAACTCCCTTACCTCTTCGTTATCTGATGATGTCAACGTTTTCACGGTTTCCTCGATCGTCGAACTGGAAATCTTGTTGCGCGTAATCTTGGGCCATTTAAGCAACACCTTCAAGGCCATCACGACCAAGTCGGGGTTGGACTTTTGGTAGTTCGTGAGCAACTTAGAGAACGTCTGGTATCCGTGTAACTTGATGATGTTTGTATGAATTGATTCGGCATCCGTGACATAGATGCGCTCCACCAACTTGCTCACCACCACAGACTCCTGGCTGTGCAACAACGCGGCCATGACCATGTTGACACTGCTGGCGAGATGATCGCTCTCGTCGGGAATCGGCAGCGCGGGTAACTGTGCGACAAAGTCCTCGTTTACATTGCTTTCAAGGCTCTGTTTAAGCTTGGTACTTTTGTTTGCACGGAGCCACGCTTTCTCCTGCTCGTGGGTGACGCCCAACGCACGCGCGTAGTTGGCAGGCAACAATAACGCGGCATCGGTCTGCGTCTTGCCACCAATCTCGCCGCTACAGTTCGCCTCGCCGCAGAAGCAGGGCTGCGCCTGCGCGCCGTAGCGGTCGACATTGTAGTCGAACGTGATCTCCTCGCCGCGGCGGATCGCGCGGCTTGCGAAGATCCCCATCGCGAGCTTCAGGCCCACCACCCACTTGTCCACAAACGAGTTCGGTTTGCACGAGTGGTTGCAAAACCGCGCCAAACACCCCTTTTTGGTCGCATCAAGAAACTCCCCCTTCTGCAACATCATGAAATAGAAGTGGCGGATGCCCTCCTTGTCGTATGTCACCATCCGCTTGCGGAACTCCTTCTCCGGAATTACCTCTCCGATATACTCGTAGATAAACGTGTTGGGTGCAATATCGCGGTCTGCGCGCAAGCCGTAGCCCTTGCGTTCGGTCTGAATTACGGACACCGCCGCGTACTGTGCCTTTTGGAAGCGCTGGTTCTGACAGTCGAGCCCACACGTACACGTGTCCTCCATGCACTCAATTGACGTCAGGCGGTTGATGCACCCGGTATCCTCGCTGCACGCAAGATTTGTCTCCCCATCCCATTCCTCCTTACAGTCGCACGTCATTGCCTCCTGCTGGCCTGATGAGCCAATCAGTTTTGTCGCGTATGTGCATCGGCGGAGGCTGGCGAACGTTTGCAAGGCTTCCCCGGTTTTTGTCTCCAGCTCGAGAAAGAGCTGGGGGCCTTGGTTCTCTGTGTCACTCATTGTGTGAATCTAGTTGTGATGATTGTGTTAAATAGCTGTGATAGTTTTCAGGTTAGATGTGGTTTTTATTTTTTCACTTGTAATCGTGCGCGCGAAGGTCGAGAAAACTAGTGCGCGAAAATGGTCGCGGGCTAGGAGCACGTGAGGTGCACACCACGGAAATAGCACCTCGATTGAGGGGGTATGAAGGAGAGTATTCATAGATAAAATAACTCTGCGATTTAAAAGAAGTAGTCATCAGATAATACTATCAAAAGAAGTGAAGCGGGGGACTTGAACCAAAGGCACCCTAAAACATAGTTGGACTGGACGCACATGGCCCCTTAACCACTATGAAATACATTACGAGGCGAAAGAGCCAGAGAAGTCGTCCTTGCCTGGTACCAGCCCAAAAAGAGACAGGGAACTATGACTGGGGCTATATTATAGACGTGGCATTAATAAGCTCCCTTCCACCCAAACACCGCTTTTCAGGGTACCACTGGCGAAGTAACATCATATTGTAGCAATCTCCTTCTCACACCCGGGACCCATTTCAGTTGATTTTTCTATGTGTGCTCTTAAATTTCACATAAATGCATAATTATACTCCATTACAAATATTGCACTCCATTACAACCGTGCACACCTTTTCAATCCGCTAGGGAATCATCAAGAAGCATCTCAATCAACTTGTCAATGTCTCTGAGCACTTCCCCTTCGCCCGCCATTTCATCAGAGCAAGGCTTCATTCCCATACTGACCGACATGGCGACGTTTGCGCTCGTTCCGGGGGTCTGCGGCCGGCTCTGATGGGCTTGCTCGTACCGCATCATCTCTTTATACTTGGAATTAAGTTGGCAGAAGATGGAGTCGATCTTATCGATGTAGTTCTGGTTTGCGGACGGCCTCAGCGGCGTGTAAAGTCGCTTCACCTTTGGCTTCTCCACGAAAGTTAAAGGGGAACGGGAAACCAGCGAGTCCTGGTGATCCAAGGAGTAGGAGAGCTTGCTGCATCCGGGCTTATCAGAGCCGACAGTTCTATCGTCCTCTGAGCGCATAAGCGGTTCCACCGGGAAGTTCGGGATTTCAGGGTAAGCACGGCAGCTTATTTCCTTGATCTCCCTGGCACGCAATGACACACAAATTGTGCGACTTATCACTTCCTCGTAGTCCAGAGTAGCTTGGTGGAGCTTCACATCCCGCACGACTTCCTTGGAGATTTGCTGCTCCATGCTCGTGCTAATGGGACATGCCTGCATGATGAATTCCGGCCGAAACTCGTCCAAGTAGCCTCCAATGGGCAAAAGAGGGAATTCCCGCGAGTATTCATTTGTTTGGTTAAAGGCCTGTAAGTCAAAATGCGAATTTCTGCAACCCACCACGTTGAGCAAGGAAACCTCTTCCAGCCCTCCGTCCTCAATCACCGGGTCGCTCAGCATGATAAAACGACACCGCTTGCGCAAGCCTTGGACAAGCGACGCCTGTCTAGGCCTTGTTTCGTAGGCTGCATTCTGGAGGCTATGCTTTTCAGCAATATTAGATCCCATGTGAGAGATGGTAGTTTTGGACCTCTCGACTTCAGGAACGCACGGAATGTGGTTTCGAGAACCGAGCACCGTCGGTGTACTGGAGAATGAATCGGGCTGGGGAGTGTGGCCTGGCGTCATGCTCAAGTCGAAATAGGATGACACACGGGAGATCGAAGCCGACTGGCCGGATGCTCTGAGATGCAACCCAGCAAGCGATCCGGGAATCGAGCCAACAGAGGCAGGGATAGAGGATGGGACAGAGGCATTGACAGAGGCTGTACCAGACAACGGAGAAAGCTTGTGGCTATCGTCACTCCAGAAGTAATCGTCGTACTCTAGCCCAGGAGAGGGTGTCTTGGCAATTTGATTCCGCTTCTTGATGATCGAGCTAGGTGAGGCCAACACGTAGTTGTCACCTTGGAGGGTACTGAGGTTGATTGACAGGTTTGAAACATTCTGGTTTCGGTAAAACTCGCCACTAACACCACTGTGGTTTGTACCCGCGTTGGCATTCGCCTTCCACTTTTCTAAAAAGGACATCCCCTGTGAGCCATGCTTGGTGTTCCAGGAAAACTGGTTCCAGGACGATGAGTATGATGAGCTCAAGGACGACGAGAGATAGGCGAGCGTAGATGACGCAGCGGTGGGAGAGGCTGTATGAGCGTCTCGCAGGACGGACGGCTGGATCACCTCAATAGAATGTGTGTGGAGGTTCGAACTAGCAGTAGACTTGATGGGGACAGCCGCGGACTTTGGTACCTGCCAGCCCTTGGCTGAGGCGGAAGAAGAAGCAGGGGATGAAGACATGGGTTCGGTGTTTTCCTCGAGGCATGGCGTCATGGCTGATGATCTGGACACCTTGTGGACCGGAGAACGGGCCTTGGTTTGCGGTGCGGGGGAAAGCGGGCTCCCTGTGCCGGACAACTCGGGCTCCGGGTGGATTGTCCGATCAGCAATGAGAGCGACGTTCTCCGGGACAAGTCTCCCGATGAGAAACATCAACTTTTTGGCAATGATGGAGTTGTTTGCCATGATTACCACACGTACAATCACTTTCTTCTTGCTCTGGGTATCAAAGATATTGCACGGCTTGTGAAGCAACTGGTGGCGGAGTGGGATGATAGCAGAGAATAACGCCGCCAAAAAGGTTACTGCCTTCTCAGGGGGCGACACATGGGAGCTGAAGGAGCCATGGCTGCTGTACGAGCCATAGGTTTGGTTGGCCCGGGGAACCATCACGTTATTGACGCTGGTACGGCCGTCCTTAAACTCTAACCAGTTGATCAACTCCGAGCACCACGCCTTCTTCAAATGCGAAAAGTGTGGGCTCGTCATCGAGGACTGGACGTTGCTAGGGGTGCTCACAGCGCCGAAGGCCGCGGGTGTGTAGTGGCCTGTGAGAAGGCGACAGGTGTTCGCTAGGATCTGTACCATCTTGACAAACTTTGCGAACTGGAAATTGATATCTTGGTCGTACTGGAGGCTGTACAGCGGGAACTGGAGGCGGTTCACGGTTGAGGGGGAGGACAGAGGGGCGGCCAAGTCGGTCGGGTTTGCAAGAAGCACCGCGATAAGCTTCGCAGACACACAGCTCTGCAAATCGTCCATGGAAGCGACAATCTCCTCCCAGTTGATGGCGAGGGTCTTGTTGATGTCTGCGAAGGCGTCCAACGGCACCACCAACCCAATGCTGACACGGATGCGCTGTCGCTCCAAGAAATCCTCTACCGCTGTATTAGTTCCGGCGAGGGTGAAGATGCGTGTAATTAGCACACACACGTGAGACGGTGGTGAAGCGTCTCGGTGGAGCGAGGCCCGGGGAAACACATGGAACTTGGTCACGTCTGAGTTCTCGTGGATGGGGAGCCCACAGCCGAACATGTAGTCCATGAGTTCCCGGACCGGATGATGGATCTTGCTGGTGAGCGGGGGACTGGGGCTCTGGCGGACGCTGCAGAGCGGTCTGGTGAGCGGGTGGGACTCCTCCTTGCGGGCTGGGGTGGCGGCAGAGTCGCACATGACCTGTTTTTTGCGCAAGCCCCCCATATCCTGACACACTACCAAGCGGAATAGCTTGGTGGTACTGATACCGGGAAGATTTTTCAACGGAAGCTTGGTTCCGTAGAGCAACGTACGGGTGTATGCGTCTTCGTAAGCGGCCGCAGACGTTGGTGGGCCCGGGAGGGCGCTAGGTGAGACTAAAGCGTCATGGAGCGAGAGATTTCCAAGCGAGGGATACTGGTTGATGCGGAGGTCCGAGTCCTGGAGTGGTGAGCTCGAGGAGGAGCGGAAAAGGCGGCCTAACATGAAATGGGGGTAAGAAAAGAAATTAGATGTCAAAAGGGACAGAAATGGAACAAAGTGCCACAGTGGCAATGAAAATAGATGATACCGACAGGAATAGACTCGGTGCGGGTTCAGTATCAAATCACTCAGGTGACTGAAATGACAGTAGTGTCGGGAAGTTTTGTGTTTGTGTTTAGATCTCTCTGGTAACGCTATTCATATTACCAAGAACCATGTTGAAGCTGGGAATACCCTTAATATACAGAAAATGGGAGAGATAAAAGTGTCTGGTCTGCTTACAGACCGGGAAATGGAGATGGGAAGAAGTGTATTGAGCGAATCGTATAAGCTGCATGCTTCGGTTTTGTTTGTACGTCTAATTAGGTACAAGACGCCGGTAGACACCTCGTTTCTTTTTCGCGCCGTTGTAATAGGCGCATGAACGTGTGAATTAGCGAGATGCAATTAGCATTACTAGGAAACGAGCGAGGTGGCAAGTTATTGGCCCCGTACGAAATCGTAAGATATAGATGACCTCTCGTGTGACACTTTTCCGAGCATAGCCATGGTCCGCTTACTGACCACTAGTGGAAGAGATACAAGCTCTGTAATTATTTAAACTCGCTTGGGAGCTGGCACATCAGTGCTTTTCTGCTTTAATATGTCAATAGCGAAGCGACGTAGAACAGGGATTATTTTCTGCCACGTAGGTCGTATTATGGCACAGTGTCCCTGTGAACTTGTCGGGATACAGTCTGTCTATAAATAGATTACGATGGTGGCAACTAGTAGACTGCCAATAATTATATAGCTAGGGTGTCACAATAGGAAACAGGCTAATTATTAGCTGCTGCGGCAAATAAGATTAAATAACGCAAGGTTCCAGGACCGGATAGAATCCTAACAATAAAGTAAAAACAAATCCCAGGATGCTAGAATAAAATGGAATGGTCACATATTGACGGAAGCCAGCCATAAGGCTCCACCGGACTAGTAGCAATGAGGAAACCAGGGGCGAATGTGACATATGTGCGACAGGTGGCGAATAGTTTAGATAAGTATGCTACTTCCTCGTATAGTACGTATGCTTTTTTTAGGGAGTGCGACAGTACTCCCATACTAAGTGTATGGTAAACAAAACGGTAAAGCCCAAGTTTAAAATAAAAATTACCAGTGTAAAAATAATCAATAGTGGGTAGAGTAGGGCGTCACCACAGAAGCCGGAGGGAATGAAAGGTATAAATTTACACATGTATTTCATCAAAAAAAAAAAAAAAAAAAAAGTCGCGTAAAATGAAAAGAGCAGATACGAAAATTAAGTACTATACGACGTCCGTACAATAATACTATGCATGAATTGAAACCATCTGGCCGCACAACAGTTAAGCAAACCTGTAGCCAATAACAGCTCATTGATATTGCTTACGCCTGGCCATATGACCCGAAACGATCACTCTACCCACAATACTCATAGCACTCTACAAACTACCTAGTAGGTAACATTTATCGGTTTAATGTTAAAGTACATTCGGAGACCTGCCTGTATCGTACTAAGTGAATCAGTCAGTCCGGTCACGTGTGTACCCCGCATTCCTTTTCCCCTCGTTGCCTATCCTTGACCTCTACTATACTTCACGCCTATTCTTCCTTTTTTACTCTTCTTCACTCTTCTTTCCACACTTTCATATTCCAATGCCTTCGCTTTTGGAAATAGCTGAACACAACACCCATGACGACTGCTGGGTTGTCATTCATGGAAAGGCGTATGACGTGACGGGGTTCCTCGACGAGCACCCGGGCGGCTCCGCCATCATCATGAAGTTTGCAGGGAAGGATGCGACCAAGAAGTTCGACCCGATCCACCCACCAGACACTTTGGACAAGTTTTTATCACCTGAATGCTACATGGGCGAGGTTGAGGACGAGGCAGAGGAAGAGGAGGAGGAGGAACTCACAGAGGAGGAGCTCGCGCGCGCGGAGATGGTAACACGCAAGCCGTCACTCGATGCGATCTACAATTTGACGGATTTCGAACACGTTGCGCGCCACACGATGGACCCAACAGCCTGGGCGTATTATTCCTCCGGCAGTGACGACGAAATAACAATGCGCGAGAACCGCAACGCGTACCAGCGCATTTTCTTCCGGCCACGCATCATGGTGGATGTCTCTAAGATCGACATGTCCACCACAATGCTTGGCTGCAAGACCAGTGTTCCATTTTACATCACCGCCACAGCGTTGGGCAAGCTCGGACACCCGGACGGTGAGACGGTCTTGACGCGTGCGGCGGGGAAAGAGGGCGTGATCCAGATGATCCCGACGCTCGCGTCGTGCGCGTTTGATGAGATAGTGGACGCAGCGGATGGGACCCAGACGCAGTGGTTCCAGTTGTACGTCAACGCGGACCGTGCGGTGTGCCGCAAGTTGGTGGAGCACGCGGAGGCGCGCGGTGTGCGCGGCTTGTTCATCACAGTCGATGCGCCACAGCTCGGCCGTCGCGAAAAGGACATGCGTTCCAAGCACTTTGAGGAAACGACAGATGTTCAGCAGGAGGAGGAAGAAGAGGAGAAAATTGACCGCCTGCAGGGCGCTGCGCGCGCCATCAGCTCGTTCATCGATACATCTCTTAGTTGGAAGGATGTTGCGTGGTTCCGCTCTATCACCAAGATGCCGATCTTGTTGAAAGGGGTCCAGTCAGTTGACGATGCGCTTTTGGCGGCGGAGCACGGCTGCGACGGGATTGTGTTGTCGAACCACGGCGGGCGCCAGTTGGAGTTTGCGCCGTCCGCGATTGAGATCTTGACCGAGGTCATGCCTGCGTTACGCGCGCGCGGCGTCGATACGAACAAGTTCCAGGTGTATGTGGATGGTGGGGTCAGAAGGGGCTCGGATATTATCAAGGCAATTTGTTTGGGGGCAAAGGGCGTTGGTTTGGGCCGGCTGTTCCTCTACGCGATGAGCACTTACGGGGAACAGGGGGTCAGAAAGGCGATTAACATCTTGCAGGACGAGATCGAAATGAACATGCGGTTGTTGGGGGTAACGAGCATTGCGCAGCTAAGCGAGAAGTATGTGGATGTGTTGGGGTTGAAGAACGGCAGGGGAGTACCAGAGGATTATTTGTTTAGGGAGGTGTACCAGCCGATGGCATTGCCAAGGTTCAAGTCGAAGCTTTAGGACGTCAAGGAAGAAATTGCTTTGTGAAAACTCGGGAGGTTCAAGGGCAGAGGCCATGATATCCGCGGGAAGATTAATTATAGGATGTGCTTGTGGTACTGATCTTCCCGTCACTTAGTTCCTTTCTCGAGCCATTTTCTTGCTCCTGCTTTTTTGGTATTTACTCTGAAAACTCCTTTTTTTTCTATTTATTACGGTCATGGCCGGCACCTTTATTTATTTATTTTTTTGTCAATTTAGCTTATCGTACTACTTCCTGTAGACTTTAGTGTTATCCATGTCGTGATTCGAACCTTGGCGACGTCGCATCTTCGGATGCATTGCGACAAAACCATAACAAACCTCCGACTCTTGTAAAGGAATATTTCTCATCTGTTACCTCATTCGCTTTTGACTTTAATGTATCTTATAACCAGTCTAAAAGTTGGTTCCATTTATTATCATATTATTCCTATGTTTTAACAATGTGTAAAGTGAAAATGATGGTCCATTTGATTGTAGCCCAATTACATATCGCAGAGAGTACGAGTCTCGCAATTAGACATCACACCCTTGTGTGTCGATTACCACTATGAAACCTCCCCATATCATCCATTTCCATCATTTATTACTTCCTAATTGTTCCATTTTATCCCCCATTTCCATTTCAGTACCCCTGTCACTGTTTATGTCACCATAAAAGCCAGCCCTCAAAGGGAGCAGTGCTGATGCACAACACAGGGGTTCAACCCAGAGATTAAGAGAATCAATAAAGCCAATAATACGGTAAATTTACAATAATGGCCTCTTTTAGCCATCTAATCAATTAATTATATTAGACGTAAGAGCATAGGATCAAAGCTGCCGGCTGTGGAGACGCCAACACTAGACAATCACACAGCAACTGTTTGTTTTTTTGGCTTGCTTGTAGAACATTCTGGAGGATGACGACAACGTTTCAGATTTGTCCACCAAAGAATCCAATCTCTCACCTCTCTCCAACACGCTCTCGATCGTCTTGTGTAGAACAATCTTAGTCTCATCCAACTCCTGCTGCACCTTCATGATGCCGTCGGCCTGGGACGGGTCCTGGTACTTGCGCAAGTAGGTCTCCAACTCAGCATAGCTCAACGCTGGGGAGGACTCAGCAATAGTCTTCCACTCTACCGGTGGGTGCAAGGACAAGTACTCGTCCACAATCTTGTTCAACAAGGTGAAGGCTGGGCGCACAGGGTACTCTTTGTCGCTGATCAACACGGCCGCAAGCCCCTCGGAATGGCCGTATACGTGCCCGACATAGTTGCCTTCCTCAATCGACTGTCTCTGGCCGGCGGCGGTTCTCTGCGAAACCGTCTCGGAAAAGAAGTTCATGAACTGGGAGACGCTGAGGAGTTAGTATTGCTGGTGGCGTCGCAACGTGATACATACCTGCTCCTCTCGAAAAAGGAAAACTGAGACAAGTCTCTGGCCGAGGATAATTCTACGGCTTTATCTCCGGTATTTCTTAAGATCCCAATATAGTAAAGCTTCATTGTGTGGTTTGGCTTGGGATGATGTCGAGGTTGCTCTGATCATGGTCAAAAGCTAAGTGTACAAATGTGCAGGATGCCACGAAACGCCTTGTCGATCCCAAGTCACGTGAGATGTGGATTATTTACCTGGATTATTTATCTGGTTTAGTGTAGTGAAACCCAGAGTGAAATGGCAAGTTCACGTATTTTATTAAGATTATTAGTCAATATAAATTTGTCTATAGATATTACCACTTGGCATATTTATTGGCTCTAAGGTGGATAAGAGTAATCTGCCTGGAATGAAACCTCAAACAGACCATGAACTCTCTGCGAGGGGTCTGTTCTCGACCTCTGGTGTATTCCGGTCCATCGTAGTATGTAATAATTTAGATGACAATCTTGATTCAGTTTAACGCCTATCCAAAGATATTTCCGTTATGTAAGCGCTATAGGTACCGGGAAAATAAGAGAATATTCGCTACAGGGTGGATTTACAACGTGGTTCCTGCCGTCATGTGACTGTCACCGCCGATATCGACGGTGTACAGCCGTAGCTCTGTTTAGATACCCATTGGGACACGGCCAGACCAATAATATCACCCTTCTGTCAATACTTTGCACATTATAATATATCAATGCAATTAAGTTTCTGATTATTACCAATCTTTTCACTATTTTTATTGCCTGTCCTCTCACGCACAAGCTTCCACGTGCATTGTATAACCACCAACCGTTTTGGCGTCTCGATCGGATGTGCTATCTTTCAACGCTTCGATTTGCAACACAACGTTTAATTCAACACAAAACCTCACCCACACATTTCTAGCGCTTGGTATGGAATGGCCGATACGAAGCAGCATCTCAAAGTTGTGCTTTTAGGCGACTCTCATGTGGGAAAGACGTCACTCCGTACTCAGCTCGTCCATCATGTGTTCAGCAACGCATACCGGGCCACCATCGGCGGCGACTTTCTCACCACAGCACTTGAAATTGTGGGCCCTGACGGGCCGGTCACGGCCACTCTCCAGGTGTGGGACACTGCGGGCCAGGAGCGCTTCAACTCCCTCGTGCGCGCGTTCTACCGTGGCGCGGATGTCGCGGTCGTGGTGTTTGACCTCACAAACCCGGAATCGTTCCAGAATGTCGCCCGTTGGATCGAGGGTTTCCTCGCAAATGTCCACGTGGACCGTCCTGCGATTGTTATCGTGGGTAACAAGTCAGACCGCGACACAGAGCGTCGAATCTCGACGCGCCAGGCGCGCGAGTTTGCCGCGCTCGCCAGCGTCGCGCGTGGCCAGTCCTTAGTGGACCGCGGTCTCATTGAGGATTTGGATCTCGATGTGCGCGACTGCTGTGCAAAAAACTATGCCGAAGTGCGTGCCATCTTCCAGCGCTGTGCTGAGTTGGGCGTGAGTAGGGCCAGCCAACCCGCCTTGGAGTTTGACTGTGTGGACATTTCTGAGCCTGTGAGAAATAAGGGGTGTTGCTAGATAGATCAGAGGCTACAAGACGCCATTATTCCAATACAGTAGGGTCCAGCTCTTGGCATAACGCCCTTGAAACGCCTGTTTCTCTTGAAAGTATTTGGATATTGGTTAACGCTCTTAAAGTCTTAGTATGCTCCTTTCTCCTTAGCTTTCAGGGATGGCTAGAAATATTTAGGTGGTTATATAACCTTAACATTCATTGTGTTCTGCCTTTGATAATGTCGCAAAGATATTCGTGGATTTGGCCAAATGATGGCCTCGCCTCGCAGCATTGTGGATTTTGGTGATTTCTGGCATCGGTTCAGATCGATTCTTAGGCGAATTGGATAAACTCTTTGACATCCATGTGGTATGGTACTCACGCTTTACTAGTATTCATAAAATTCTGTCGACAGGCGTCCTATCGCGAGATAAACCTCCAAGGTCTGTCCCAATTCAAAAGGGTATAAAGCGATCAATGGAATTAAAAAAAAAAACTATAACCATAATAATCGGACAAGATTAGTGCTAGATATACTTTAGTACGGATATAATTTACAGCCCATAGCGTATTTAATTCCTTCGTTTCGCGTCACGTTATCGCACTTTTTCTCTTCGCGAACTTACAGCCGCGCGCGGACCTTTTCTCAAATTTCAGAGAAAAGCACCACAAAACCAAGCCATTGCACTCACCACTCAACCAGACTTCCATCATCACAATGTCCGATTCCTTGACCCTGTTGAGAAAAAGTATCATCGGAAACGGAACACGCCAACTTCTCGCGGGCGCGGATTCCGACGCGCCGATGGCTGACATCGCCAGCGCGACTCATTTGAGGATTGACTCTACAACCTTTGATCTCGCGGAAGAGACTAGGTTTGCAGTTGACGGTCAAAAGCAGTCGTTACGAGTAGTCTTTCAGGCGTGGGAGCATGTGGACTCGTCAGCCGCGGACTATATCAGCGACTGCGAGGCAAAGGGCATTCCGACGTTGACATTTTTGCACCGAACGGATTTGACCACGTGGCTCAGCGGATCGGCTGACCAGTCACAGTTCATTGAGGAGCCTAAAGAGGCGCGCAAAGCGGACGCGGCAGAGGAGCGCGCAGCGAAACGTGCGCGTGCGGACCCGTTCTTAGAGGAGATTGTGAGCAACGAGCGCGATTTGATCGACCACAACTCATTCCTCCGTGGCGTGAAGCAGATCGATTTCAGCTACGTCGCGCGCGAGTGCGAAATCAAGCTTGTTAACGTGTTGAAGAAGAAGACCGCGGCACCTGTCAAGTCTGTGGCAGCCGTTACCAAGAACAAAAACCCGATCATCATTATCTCTCCGTCGCCATCGGCGCTTTTGACCATGGCCAACATCAAGGAGTTTTTGGAAAATGGTGACTTTGTGGACCCCGCGAACTTGTCCTCTAGCGGTGGCAACGCGCTACTCAAGGTATCGCGCACGTCCGCAAAGTTAGGCGGAACCGTCAACTTTCTCGTGGTGGAAAACGTCGCTCAGTTGACCAAGCCAGAGTATTGGGACAGGGTCGTTGGGATTTTCACCACTGGCCAGGCATGGCAGTTTAAGCAGTATCCTGATGGGAGTAACCCCCACAAGTTGTTTAGACGCATCAAGGGCTTCTACGTTGGGTTTTCGGGTGATGCCGTGCCGAAGTCCGTCACTGACTGGAACGTGGAATTGGTTGAAGTGGACAGAAACAGACGCTTCAGAGACAGACAGGTGGTCGAAGGTTTCTGGGACGCTTTGGAGAAGGGCATGTTGGCCCGCGGCATGGGCAAGTAGGTAAAGGTGAGATGTATTATAAATGAGTTAAGATTACACTGGTTAAGTGGAGGGTAGGAAACGGTGTCTGGGGCTAAATTGAGTAGTTACAAAGGAGAGGTTCTGGGAGAAGACAAATCTGCATGTATTACTCCAGGAGAATAAAGAAAGGGATAGTTTTATAGGCATTAAGAATGAGAGACTATTAAACTTACCGGGGCTGAAACTGATTTCCTAGCTTGAAATTTGGAGGATGGGCTCTCATTTTAAAAGTGCTTGAAAGATTACATCTCAGAATACATTATATGTGAACCACGGCATGGTGAAGCCATTCTCATCTCAGGTAAAAGAAGATATCGGCTTTTTCTCAAACGACTTTAAATGTTTTACATACGGCGCATCCGGTCGAAAAGCAGGTTAAAGATGGTGTTCGCAACAGCCGTATGTATCAACACTTCTGGTATAGCCTCAGTTGGTTTCGGATTCCTCTTTGGATTAGGACCGGGCGGGCGATCTTAGATACTAGGCCTTACAAAATGTCCGTTTTCTTAGTGCTCCCATACATTTCCTATTTCTATCTTCTCATATTTGCTATGGCCACTCTTGAATCTCTAATCTTAATATTACCGGTGTATTTACATTGTCTATAGAAAAGGCTAAGCTTCGGTGACAGCTTCCTTAACTTCTTCGGCCGTCTCAGCGAACTTTTCAGCAACCTTTTCGTTGATGGCGTCCTGGACGGCTTCTACGGTTTCCTTGGCAGACTCAACCTTTTCGGTAACGGTCTCCTTTGTGGATTCGACAGTCCCCTTGGCGGCGTCGAAGGTCTCTTGGGCAGATTCCTTGATGTCTTCGACGATAGAGGCGACGGCAGCCTTGGCGGCTTCTCTTTCGGCTGCGATTTGCTCGGTCAAAGAGGCTCTGGTTTGCTGTTCCTCCTCGGACAAAATAGCCTCAGCGGCATCATCCTCTCTCAATTCCTCGGCGTACACCTCTGGGTGCTCTCTAAAGCAGTTTTGCATGTTCTTAAATTTCTCGACACAGTCAATGCCCTTTGGCTCGACCTCGGAGTAGACGAAACAGGAGAAAGCCTCCTTGAATTCCTCACCGCATGGTCCATGGGCCATACCGCCCAAACATGGACAGTCCCAGTTGATCTCACCGGTCTCTGGGTTGTAGGCAGCAGACTGGGCGTGTGGGTCCTCAGATGATTCAGATTCTTCGGAAGATTCCGACGCTTCAGTGGCTTCGGACGATTCAGCGGCTTCAGATTCTTCAATAGCTTCGGATTCTTCAGTAGCTTCGGATTCTTCAGTAGCTTCGGATTCTTCAGTTTCTGCGACATCGGATTCTTCGGTGTCATCCTCGTCATCCTCGTCATCATCATTGCCACTCTCACCAGTACCCGGCTTGTTCAAGATCTCAGTAGGGCCGGAGTGTGGGACGTTATTGCTACCCTTAGCAAAAACAAGGGCATAACCAGTGAAAGCCACAGCCAAACCCAAGATAACTTTGCTGGTACTATTTGGGACGGTAGGGTTGAAGCTAGGCGGCTTGGTTCCAAAGGCACGGCGGCCGGCAGCAGTTCTAGCAGTGCGCAAAGTGGATCTTAAAGCAACTCTCTGCATTGTGTGGAGGGAGAAAAATAGGGTTATATGAGAGCAAGAAGAATGGGCACGATGCAGAAATATAGCGCCTCGGAAGTGGAAAATTCTGGAATCCAACGGTTTTTCGGCTTCTATCGGCGCTTAGTAATTGCTACGCTTGAGGTCGTGCGTGGATATTTTTATAGCTTGTACACGACATAACACATAGTTTCATTGACATTACGGGATGTGAAAGTACAGTTGAAATATTGTATATTTAAATCAAGAGGTCAGAAGCTTGACTGGAATATATCCAGATTACCAGACTGGGTACTCTAATCAGGTTATGAGCATTCATACAAGCCCCAGAAGCGAGTCTCTACACCTGACACTTAAGCATTGACAGGTCAGCCTGCCAATGCTTGTTCTCGAATTCTCATTTTGGAGGGCCGTCGGAAACGTTGAGTGTGGATTGGAATGGACAAGCAGGCTTTGTGGGGGGGGTTGGATCCAAAATAGATTGGATCAATGGGATTTAGACGTACAATTTAACCTGTATGTTACTATTATTACCAAAGAACGAATGCGATAGCCATTACAGAATAGGGTCTCCGGTCTGAAGCGGGATGGTTATTAAACAGAGAGACTCTGATGAGAATGCTTATTATCAGGCTCCAGTTGGGCAATGATAGCATACTATGAAATGGAATTAGCGAAAAATTAAGTAATGGCATTGAGCGTGTAATCCAGTCAGCGTCTGGCAACGCCTGAGCCACATCAAGGTAGCGCGTAAATGACGAGCACTAATGAACAACACGAGGGTCCCATTAGACAGCTTATGCTTTGTGCCCAAGTATGAATTAAACTACGAAAACTGAATAATACGCCAACTCTCCCTTTTCGCCCATCATTCTAAAAATTTTCATGTGTGGCCCTCTTATATATCACGTGACATAGATATTTAACTACGGTTTTTATGGCAGCTCACTATCCCACCACCTTATACGAAGACCGCCCCCAATGAATTTGCAAAGGCACCTATCGCAGAGACTCGGAGGGGCTGCCTCCCTCGCCAGAAGCTACTGCGCCTCCCACTCTGCTGCCCAGATCAAAGAGGATACGGCGGCGTTGACCAACCTCACCATCTCGCACAAGCAGCAGTTGTACCTCACGGACCCTGTGACGCCAGGCTCCATCTTCTTCTTGCCGCATGGAACGCGCTTGATTAACAAGCTCGTCTCCTTCATGAAGCACCAACAGTTGAAGCACGGCTTTCACGAGGTGATCACGCCCCTTATTTACAAAAAGCAGTTATGGGAGCAGTCGGGGCACTGGGACAATTACAAGGACGATATGTTCAAGGTCGAGGGGACTGATATCGAAAAGGAGCTGTATGGGTTAAAGCCTATGAACTGCCCTGGTCATTGTTTGGTTTTCAAAAAGATTGACCGCTCCGTTGGCGAGTTGCCGTTACGTTTCAGTGACTTCTCGTCCTTGCACCGTAACGAGGCTAGTGGGGCGTTGAGCGGCTTGACCAGAGTCAGACGCTTCCACCAGGACGATGGGCATATCTTCTGCACCGGTGAGCAGGTTAAGGCGGAGATTGACAACACTTTGACGTTGATTAATACCGTATACCGTACCTTCGACTTGAACGAATACCGCTTGTTGTTATCCACCAGACCGGAGAAGTACATCGGGTCCGTAGAGGAATGGAATCTTGCCGAGAGTAACTTGAAGGAAGTACTAGAGACCACTGGCCGGGAATGGTCCATCAACGAGGGTGACGGTGCATTCTACGGCCCTAAGATTGATGTGTTGCTCAAGGACCACACCGGTAAGGAGCACCAAGTCGCCACCATTCAGTTGGATTTCCAGTTACCTGCACGCTTTGAGCTCAAGTACAAGTCGTCTAGCAACTCTATGGAACGCCCTATTATGATCCACCGGGCCGTATTCGGATCCTTAGAGCGTTTCTTGGCTATATTGATCGATCACTATGACGGTAAGTGGCCCTTCTGGATGAACCCGAGACAGGCCATTGTCATTCCTGTGTCATTGGACAAGCACGGCGCTTTTGCTGAGCAGGTTGCTGCCCAGTTGCGCGGCGACATAGTCGACGGCAATATCAACACTGCCGCGCCGCTCACCGGCCACCACTTCCACGTCGATGTGGACACCAGAAACGAGACTGTGGGTAGCAGAACCAAAGATGCTATCGCAAAATCTTACAGCTATATCGTCATGGTTGGTGATAAGGAGGTTGAGAGCCAGACCATTTCTATGAGATCCCGCTCCAGCAGAAAGATCACCTCCATGACCGTTGACGAGGCCGCCAGGACCTTTGTCGAGTTGGAGAAGAAGTACGAATAGCTGACTGTATATAAAACAATTACATAGATATCCATGAAAGTTGTAAGCCTAGAGAAAGGAGCGTAGTTGTAAAAGGTACCCATCGGGTATCATATACCGATCTGTCAACATAGCTAACGAATTTATGTATGCTTATCGACGAGGCAAGGCCTTGAAGTCAAAACGTAGCCGGGAATATACCATGGTCAGGCATACTAAACCCTTTAAACCCCATCGGGCAAGACGCAGATCATACGAATCCGGTTCTGTTTAGAATTATTGAAGATTAAGTGTCAAATTTTTGAAAACTAAGTGTGTGCAATCGCTAAAAAAACCAGCACACACAAGAGTATAGCTACAATCTGTGAAAGACGGGTAGTCTGCATTACTTTCATTAAAGGTACACTTCAATACAATGTAGATGTGCCTTTAATTCATTATCTATACTGTGTAACTGTTGTCCTATTAGGTTGGAACAAGACTAGCCAAGTCATCTAAGCTGACCGGGGTGTACTCATCCTTCGGGCTAACCCACAACACGTCTTCAGTCCAGTAGCAGCAAACTGAGTTTTTACTAGTTCCGGTGCGGGAGATCCGGAAAATAGGCAAGCCCAACGTATCATGGAACTTGTTCAGAGCTTGGAAGAAAAGATCGTTATTGGCACAATAGGTTTCAATCAAATCCTTGAACGTGGTCTTCAACAAGTCGGTAGGAATCCCATCAACATTCACCTCTCTATCGACATTATCGTAGACGACTTGCAGGAAAACTTCGTGGACTATCGCAGCAGCGGTAGTATACGAAGGGGGAAGTAGACTGGTGGCAGTATCGCGGAAGGTTTCACCGTGAACTCCCATCAAGGTGTTGAGTTTCTGGAATTCGATTCTAAATGCCAGTCGGATCTCAGAAACTCTCTGCGGGTCATCGCGGCAGTATTCCTCTAACCACCAATCATACCACATCTCCATCCAGACAGATACTTCATAAAGGTCAACACTGCTGCGGTTTAACCAACTCAATAAGACTCTTTCTGTCTCCGGGAAGAAGATCCGGCGTAGGATGGTATTAAATTTCGAGTTGTCCTGTAGAATTAGGTTCTGAAACTCAATCGCCGCCCATAGTGGGGTTAAATCCTGGGTTTTCAAACTAATCCGGAAGTTTCCGTGGAGATAAGTAATTATCTGTTCAGTAAGAATCTTCACCGCCTGGCAATTATTGGTAATAAGCTGGTTCTCTCTGAACGCTTGTGCCCATTTATCAAGCCCAGTTGGAAGACATTCATGGCCGACAGTTAACCACGTCACAGACATGGCCGAGATGTACTTATCAAAAACCATTCGAACTAGTTTCGTCATACTTCGCTTCTGGGCGCCCACGATTTCGATCCAGTCTAGCAACCATATATGAGGCTGCGTCAAAGATGCACTGTTCCAGCATACCTTCCATTGCTCCTGGAGTATCAACTCAAACTTCGGTACAAGGACTCCAAGCAAAACGTGTTCCTCAAAGAACTCTCGGCCAATGGTGGACTCCCAGTCGAGGAAAATGCTGATTATCAAGCTAGGCTCTTTGATGAGAGGCTGCCCGTCGGAAAGCAAATGCATAAAGTTCGGAAGCCATTGCTTGGCAACCATAGATTGGAAGTAGTTGAGGGTCAAAGGGTCATTGGATGATTCTATAAGGGATTTTGCCGCCAACGGATCCACCACCATCAATTTCCAAGCGAGTAGACAATCCCGTATTCTGGAGGAACCTTCTAGGTCTGTCAAGTCCCAGGGAAGGTATGATATTGCTGGATCACGGTTTGAGTCTGATGAGCCGGTAGTTGCGGCGTGCTTGATCATATCGTGGAAAAGAACTTCGAAGATAGATACAAGCAACGCTTCGACGCTAAAACCGTCGTCTTTTAACAACGGCAACGCCAGATCAGGAAGACCGATAACTTTATCCATAATGGCACCTAGTTTGGTATTAACCAGAGCAATTATAGAGTAGAGATCTTGGTCGGAGGTATCGATAAGCGCTTTTATGCCGTCAACCTTCTGTGTGATGTGTGACAAAAAGCTAGTCACAGAAGACATTTTCTCCAGCGTTGTCTCGAGTTCTTTCGCAGACTGTACAGAAAGCAATCGGTTTGCCTGGTTTGAGGCTAACTCATCGTTGATCTTTGACAACTCACTCCGAAGCCTAGTAATGTCGTAGCTTGGAGAGAGGTCACTCTTCCCGGAGGAGTGCCCCACAAGCTTCATGAACTGCATCTTTTCTCTATCCGTAGTAACCTCAGAGCTATTCTCATCCGAGATCTGCCTAATGCGAAGGGGAATGGCCACGTTTTTTGCTCCCAACTCTTGGATTAATGTGTACAAATCTTTCTCCTGGAACTTGGTAAAACTCACAGCTGGTTTTGCAGCTACTCCCTCATCATCGCTCAGATCCAGATCTTTCTGTCCTGGCATGTTGTTCTTGAACTCTTTGATACCCCCAACACCCATACCCTGGGGTCTAAGCTTTGTTTCGATGGGCTTTACAATCCCGGAGCCGTCTTTCCCTAGACCTTTTCCTTGGACATAACCCATTTGTCGCAATAATTTGGCCCCAATACCGTATGTTGCAGATAATTTGCTGTCCTGGTACTGCGAAACTTTTACCGTCGGGGTTGGCCTTTGAGTCATGAGAAGCGGTGATTGGGTCAGTGCTGGCACCAGCGGCCCCTCTGAATCATCCTCGAGATCTGAGTACTCATCGTCAATGTTTTGCTGTAGCATACTTTTCATCAGAGGCCGTATTTCATACTCTTCATCGCTCTCCATGAGTGCATCAGGGGTAGAGGACAGTTTGGTGAAACGCATGAAGTTGGGCTCGGGCGCTGGTAGGGGATTCAGGTTGTCAGATTCATATTTCCGCTTTGTCTGAGAATTCATCCTAAAGTCTTCCTTTCTTTGTAGCTATTATGTCATATAGTTCTCGATCTGCCAGATATCGGCACTCTATGTAAGGCGAGAAAAAAAGTTCATATGGTAGTGTGCCGCCTGGGGCTTATCTGTATTGCATTGTGCACTACCCTCTGCACCCTCTCAGTCAGGCTACATGCAGGCTAGGACTATACCCCAAAGTCATGGGCTTTCCATATTTGATTGCTCCCGGATATACCCTATTACTACACAATCAAACGAATGGATATAAGCCTCAGAAGAGTCTCAGAACTAATACGGGAGGCCGGTTCAACGCTCCAAGCTGCCCAACAAACATGCAGCAAAACAGACCTTCTCATGCTGAAGACCCGCTCCTTATGCGATGACTTTAACCACAACCACAGCATCAGATCCCCATACATAGCGGCCTTTCTTGAATCCCAATGCAGGCTTATGGAGCGCATTCACGAATGTATGGCACACCAACAGCGGGAGCTACAAACTGAGATTGGTACGATTCGCGGCTTGGCAGAAAGGAAGATCCGTGATTTGGAAAGAGTAGTTGCCGTTTTGCAGGACACCGCCATCGATGAGGGATATTTGGAATTCCTCTTGAAAGAGAGAAACCGCGACTCAAAGCCTGAAGGTGAGATCCGCACGTTATTTGACTTTATATCTACCAACAACATGGAGGAGCTTAAATCGGAACTAGAAGTGACATTGGCGAACCACGAAAGAGAATTCAAGCAGTGCATATCCAGCAGCTTTGAGAAGTTCGATGCGGTCATGGGGGGTTATCGCACACAATTTAGGGCCGTCGTTGCCGATCTGGCTACCTCTGCTGAAGGGGAACCATCGCTTCCGGAAGAACTTGCGGAGATCTTGGATGACAACGACGAGGCTGGCCAGGAGATGGCAACCATCATACAGAATCTCACTCAGCACTACGATCAATGCATGAAGGTGCGTGAGATGCAAAGTGGTGCATACGATCCCTCCGAGACCCGCGAGCTTTTTGGGGTGGTTTCTAATGATTCCGCCGAGTTGCCGAAAGCTGCCAAGGCGCTTGAAACGGTTCAGATCGAGGTTATTGAAAACTATGAGTTCTGTGTGAAAGAAGTAAATGCCTTAGCGCAAGCGAATGCTTTGTCGCCGCTTAATTTGGCATCCTTAGACTTGGTTGGCTCTGACGAGAGTCCCCTACAAACGCTTATGAAGAGCTGTCTTACGAGCTTACGTCGATTTTCCAACCAGCAGTTCAAAAAAGATATGGAGAGCATCTCTGATTTTTCCGAAGACTTGATCGGGCACTACAACCAATTCATCAAATCCTACTATAACATGATGATAGAAATCCGACGTCGAAAAACAGTTGCGGCGAAGATTAACAAGATTATTCAAGAGGAGCTACGCCTTAAAATGGAACAAGTGGAAGCTTCTGAGGCAGAGCGTCGTGGAAATTTCTGGGCAGAAAACGGTGACTTTTTGCCGAACGATTTGGTCCTACCGGATTTCATCAAGTATCTGGCTTCTCTTCCTAGGTTTGAGATCATCCAGTACGAGGAGCATCTACCCGATATCAAGGATGACTCTTTGTTAAAGCTTGAGAAGTACATTGTCTACAACCTAGATGGATGAATATGGTTTAGTCTATGATAAAAAACGTTCATTAAATTCTATAGATGGCTAACTAGTTCAACAAGTAGATTCTACCTTCGTATGGCGACAACTTGGTTTCCTCAAGTTTATCGGCGTTGGTAACCAACAAATCAAGCTTACCGTCGGCCAACTGCTCAAATGGTTGCTCTTCTTCGGTGAAGTTCAAGACCACGTAAGCGGTTTTGCCAGCTTGAGTCTTGGTAAAGGTGAAGGTGTTTTTGTTCTCGTAATCAAGAACCTTAAACTCACCGTATATGAACAAATCCTTGTAGGCCTTTCTCAACTTCAAGACCTGCTTATAGAACGATAAAAGAGAGTTTGGATCGTTGATCTGGGACTTGGCGTTGATTTCCGGGTAGTTGTCGTTGATTCTCATCCATGGCTTTGCGGTAGAGAAACCACCGTTGGCAGAATCGTCCCACTGCACTGGGGTCCTGGCATTGTCCCTGGCAACCAACGCTAAGTTCTCCATCAACTTACTCAACTTCTGTTCGTCGCCACCAACTCTTTCTTTGAACTCCTTGTAGTAGTTGGTCGAATCAATATCCTGGTAGTCAGAAATATCCCAGTCACGCCCGATATTGGTCATACCGATTTCCTGGCCCTGGTAGATGAACAAAGTACCAGTCAACGCCGCTTCCAACATGGCCAACAACTTTCCGGACTTGGCGTGGTACTTCTTGGAAGGGTTACCGAATCTCGTGATACAACGAGGTTGGTCATGATTTTCAATAAAGACGGTAGACCAAGCATCGGTTCCAGACACAAACTCGCACTGATCGTGGACGGCCTTTTTGAAGTCAACCAAGTTGAACCCTTGGTACTCGTATCTGTCATCCGCACCGTATCCTAATTGTACCACATCGAACAAGAAGATCATGTTCATCTCCTTCTCCTTCGCACTGACGTAGGCCAAAGACTCCTCGCGGGTACCCTTGCACACCTCACCAACGGTCATGGCATCGTAGTTTCCAGTTACCTTGTCGTACATTTCCTTATGGAATTCGTGGATTCTTGGACCGTTAAGGAAGAACTGGCCACATGGCTGGAACTCTCTGTCAGTAAAGGTTATCGGAGCATCCACCAATGGGTAGGTCTTGGAGTACATGCTGGCAACGTCGATACGGAAACCATCGATGCCCTTGTCTAACCAGAACTTTACCGCTGATTTGTAAATTGCCTCTCTGGTTTCCGGGTTCTCCCAGTTCAAGTCTGGCTGCGACTTAGCAAAAAGGTGCATATAGTATTCGCCAGTTAACTCGTCGTACGCCCAAGCCGATCCAGAAAAGTGGGAAACCCAGTTAGTTGGAGGTTGTCTATTCCCATTCTCATCGATTCTTGGAGGTCTCCAAATGTACCAGTCTCTCTTAGGATTGGTCTTGGATGATCTGGATTCTTTGAACCAGTCATGCTCGCTGGATGTGTGGTTGATGACCAAATCCAAGATCATTTTCATCCCTCTCTTGTGAGTCTCTTCAATGAGGTTGTCCATATCATTCATGGTACCGTACTTTGGGTAGATCCCTTCGTAGTTGGAAATATCGTACCCCATATCGTCTTGAGGAGAGTCAAACATTGGGGAGAGCCAGATCACATCCACACCCAAGTCCTTGACATAGTCTAAGGTGGAGATGATACCTGGGATGTCACCCACACCGTCACCGTTGGAATCTTTGTAAGAAGCGGGCCAGATTTGGTAAACAGTGGCATCTTTCCACCAGGTTTTTGTAACAGTCATTGTATCGGAGTGTCGTAAAGAAGAAACATGAAGGAAATAATCAATAAAGAGAACCCATGCTCTTATATATGGAGATTTTGTGTCCGTTGGGCTAACCTTTCACTTATGGGGGTAGTGTCCCAATGCAGTAACCTAGGCGAATATGCACAGCGTTTTTGCCCACGTTTCGACTGCATGAACCCCGCAGGGGAAAAAGAAATATTCTCCGAAGCCCCACACTCTTTCGGGTGGTTAATCCCTCGATCTACAGGTTCGGAATAATCTGCGCGCTGTTCTTCCGAATTGGGACTTCTACTCAGCTCTCGTGCGGGATTATACTAAATTCTTGGCGGTGTGACACTGACTGCGTGTTAAACCGTCAGGCATTCCTTCTGGCTTACAAATACCCATTGCTGGAGAAGTACTGTCAGGCAAAGCCTGACAGCCCCACAACGAAAACGTTTGAAAAAAGTGCCTAACATCTGGCAATACTGGTCTAGCTGTTGCCAAGGTTTTCTCATGTCAATGTCCTCTGCGGGTAAATATACTTTCAGAGTCAGGGTTTGTTCTTTAAAAATGCATAGTGTACTGGTATTTCTGTATTGCAGAGGAGTGTATTTAGGGTATCTTGAAAAGTGGGTTGTTGATATTCAGCCTTTGAGTATATGTGAATGTCTATAGGATTTGGTAATTGCCCTTATCACAAGGTCATGGCTCTATGTATCTAGATTATAGTCTCTGATTTATGTAAAAAAATCCGTAATTTAATAAAAGAATGCGGAGAAAAAGTACAATAAAAATACGCTCTACTGGAGAAGGTAAATTCTCCCTTCGTAAGGCGACAAGGTAGACCCATTCACCTGATCAACATTCGAAAGAATCATTTCACCCTCGATAGATTGAATTGTCTGGTTTGTTTCGCTAAAGTTCAACACCACAAGAGCCTTCTTGTCTTCGTGGGTCTTGGTGAATGTGAACATGTCCTTGTTCTCGTGGTCTAAAATTTCGAAATCACCATGGATGAACAAGTTCTTGTAAGCCTGTCTAAGTTTTAAGACCTGCTTATAGAACGACAAAAGAGAATTTGGATCGTTGACCTGGGATTTGACATTGATCTCCTTGTAGTTGTCATTCACCCTCATCCATGGCTTTCCAGTGCTAAACCCTGCATTCGCAGAATCGTCCCACTGCACAGGAGTTCTGGCGTGGTCTCTGGCGCGCAACGCTAAGTTGTCCATCACTTGCTGCATCTTCTTCTTATCGTTGCCGTTTTTCTCTTTGATTTGTTTGTAATAGTTTTTGGAGTCGATGTCTTGATAGTCCGAAATATCCCAATCACGGCTAAAGTTTGTCATACCGATCTCCTGGCCTTGGTAGATGAACAACGTGCCGGTTAAGGCAGCTTCCATCATGGCCAATAGTTTACCAGATTTGTCATGGTACTTCTTGGACGCGTTCCCGAATCTGGTAATACTACGCGGTAAATCGTGGTTCTCAAGGAACACCGTCGACCAAGCATCTGTACCAGACACAAACTCGCACTGTCTTTTGACCGCATCCTTGAAATCAACAAGAGTGAACTTCTTAGGCCTGTACCGGTCAGTAGGTTGGGCACCCAACAGAACAACATCAAACAAGAAAATCATATTCATCTCCTTCTCCTTGGCACTAACATACTTTAACGATTCCTCGCGAGATCCGCTCCCCACTTCCCCAACGGTCATAGCGTCGTAGTTGCTAGTGACCTTGGAAAACATCTCCTTGTGGAACTCATGGATACGTGGGCCGTTGTGGGTGTACACTTCCGCCGGCTGGAACTCCTGGTCAGGAACAATAATGGGAACATCTCTGATAGGATAGGTCTTGGAGTATAACCCAGCAGTATCAATGCGGAAACCATTGATCCCCTTGTCGAACCAGAACTTCATCGCTGATTTGTAAATTGCCTCTCTGGTTTCCGGGTTCTCCCAGTTCAAGTCTGGTTGAGATTTGGCGAAAAGATGCAAGTAGTACTCGTCGGTTAACTCGTCGTATGCCCAAGCCGATCCTGAGAAGTGGGACTTCCAATTAGTTGGAGGTTGTCTGTTCCCATTCTCATCGATTCTTGGAGGTCTCCAGATGTACCAGTCTCTCTTAGGATTGGTCTTGGATGATCTGGATTCTTTGAACCAGTCATGCTC